ACTCCTTCAGCATCGTCCAGACGACCTGCTTTTGCCTCCCGTCAGCTTGGATCTTGCCAGCTTCCGCCTTCCCGCGCCTCATCAGATACTTTGTCCTGCCATTCTTTTGGTCCCCGTTGCTGCTCTCATACTCCTGCCAACACTACTTCTGCCTTTGTCAAGTTCTGTGGTCAGCTATCGCCGGGACAGAGTTGTCACTGAATTGTCCTCAGGCGTAACCGTATCATCACCAGCTATCGGAAGACCGTTGCCAGTGTTCACCGGATCATGGCCAGCTTTCGCGTACCATCGCCAGCTCCATGGGTCACTGTACAGTCGCCATGACGTTCTTTCGTCTTGCCAACCATCGCCTCCCCAGCATGCTTTGTCATCTGGCGTCCCAGCACAGGGCACAGACATCTGGACTCCTCCCTTACTTCACCTCACCACCCTTCGGATGATGAGCGACATGACACTGCCTGACCAGCAGTCAAGTTCCGAGATTTCGGAAGGAACACTACCCTTTCCACTCCTGTTGATGAAGACGTTCTGATGCTCGTTGGTTCTTCTCAACCCAGTACCTCGATTTCGATGACAGATTCGCAACTTGTTAGAATGAATGCCGCTCTCCGTCACTCTCTCGGACATACTGGACTGCTTAGACAAGAATCCGTCTGAGGCTAATGACCAGGTCCTTTCAGTCTTGGATTGGCAAAAGCTTCAACTTGTGCACATGTCCACTTACCTACAATACTGCCTTGGATCAATCACCATCGCTAGATGCTCTGCCCTGCTCAAACAGTCCTCTTGAGATCCGTTGTTCAAGACGCAATTGATGCGCCAACCTTGGTCTGGGTCAGCTCAGTTCGTTACCCGGATCCTTCGCCATGGTTACCGCCTGCAGTTCTGTGCCATTCCTCCTCTAACTACCACTCCCTTGGAACCTCAGTATCGGCCTCGTGATGTGCTGGATCTTCAGGCCAATATCGATCTACTGATCGCCAAGAATGCAGTGGATCTCATGGATGCCGACTCCATCTCTCAAGGGTTTTATTCTCCAGTCTTCCTGGTGTCCAAGAAGGGTTTGTCCAAACTAAGAATGATGCACAATCTGGCGCTATTCAACCTCCATTATCTAGTGCCTCCGACACATTTCCAGATGATCTCCATCCGGTCTTTGCACAACCTCCTTCAACACATGGACTACCTCATCAGTCTAGATCTCCAGGATGCCTACCTGTACGTTCCCATTCATGCAGCACATCGTCGTTTCCTCCGCTTCATCTTCCGGGGCCAGCACTTTCCACTGTCACTGCATCGTCTGACCCTGACTCTTCAGCGCGATTTCACCCTTTGCCTTCTCCATTGGTTGGATGATCAACATCATCTGACTCCTTCTCACCGTCTAACTTTCATAGGCGGTCTCTTTCTGACAGACCTCTCCTTGATACAGGTTCCTCTGGATTGGTTCAGGAGAGCCCTCTCTCAACCTCTCGATATCCGTCAGTGGCAGAGACTTCTCGGGCTGTTGTCCTCAGCTCAGGATCTGACATCCATGGGTCGTCCTCTACTGCGTCCCCTTCAGCGGTTTCTCCTGCCATTTCTGTGCTCAGACCTGTCGGGTTCCCTTCTTTCTCTGCCACAGGAATTACATCAGTTCCTGGACTGGTGGCTAGTCCCATCAAGCGTCTTAAGTGGTTTCTCTATGACATGCTTCCAGGCCACTCACCATCCCTTTGTAGATGCATCTCTTCAAGGATGGGGCGCCCACCTGCTCCAGGAAACCGCTTCTGGTCTTTGGACTCCTTCGGAACATGCGTGGCACATCAACAATCTGGAGTTGGAGGCGGTCATTCAGGCGATTCGTCATAGGCATTAGATCTTCCACAACAGCTGTCTCACGGTCGCATCGGACAACTCCACAGTGGTGTATTACATCAAGAGGCAAGGGTCGATTCGGTCTGCTTCTCTCCTGGTGCAGACCTTTCACCTGTTTCATCTGGCCAACGGTCTCCCTCTTGTGATCCGAGCCCATCACATTCCATTCCAGGTTGTCGCAACGTCTTAGCCGACACCCAACCAAGACCTGATCGTCCGTCCCCCACAGAGTGGATGCTCCACCTGGAAGCCTTCCCGTTCTTGTGCGATCGCCTGGGGACTCTCAACATAGATCTCTATGCAACAGTTAGCAACCATCAACTGCCGGTGTATGTGTCTCCTGTCTCGGACCCAGCTGCTTGGGAGGTAGAAGGCCTCACTCTGTCTTGGGTCGGCTTCAGCGCGTACTTTCTCCCCCAGGTCCTCTGGATCTGCTTTTGGTCACACCATTCTGGCCATCCCAGATTTGGTTTCCCAGGCACCTTCAGTTTACAGGAGAATCCGTGTTATGTCTCCCAGCATGGCCAAAACTGCTGCTCAATCCTCACACCAGACAGCCGCATCCAGACCCCCAACGGTTACAGTCTGCACATTTGGCGTGTCACCAGAATTCATTGACCGCTAAAGGATTTTCATCGTACCTCCACTTGTTCCTTATATGATGACAAGTGGTGGTCGGTTCAGACCTTCTGCTTGTCCAGGCACATTGTCCCAGTGGAGGCCACCGTTCCACAGGTGGCTGACTTTTTGTTTTTTCTTCGCCAATCCTGACACCTGGCTGGTTCCACGATTGCGACATACCTTGCTGCGCTCAATTCTGTCCCGAAAATCGCTAGGGGTTCCCGGTTATCTTCGGTCCCTGCCCTTTTTGCCATGGTACAAGGTTTTTGACTGGAGGACCAGACTAAAAAGATCCGCTCCCCAGCTTCGGATCTCAATGTTGTTTTGCAGGATTTACCTCGGGCCCTGTATGAGCCGCTTGCGTCTGCCTCGTTTGAAGATCTCACCTTGAAGACTTGCTTTCTCCCTAGCCCCTGCGACAGCTGCTAGGGTTAGCGAGCTTCATTGTGACCCGTGTCCGGTTCGACCAGTATCCTCTAAGCTTGGTTCACATTGACCTTTGTTCAGACTTTATCACCAAAAACCAACTGCCCGGCCAACCTGATCGGCAGTTTCACGTCCTGTCTCTTTCGGAGATCATCGGCCCTGATGATGACCTGGAGCTTGCCCTCTTGCCCTCTTGCCCTCTTGCCCTCTTGGGTTGCTTGGTACTGTTATGTTGGTACCTAGTAAAGTTTTGGTCCCATTTTTCCGCCTCTTTTTGAGCCAAACACAGAATATCTTGCTTTTACCCTCTGTCAACTGATGTTCATCAGACCACCATTCTGTTCCGAGAGGGCTTGACCTGCATCTTATCCCCTTGCCTGCTGTTCAGGGAGCCACTACCTTGCTGTCACCTGCTGGGTTTCCCGCCGGACAGTTTTTTTGTGCTTCTTCAGTGTGCCTGGCACTACTCACGGTAAGCCTGCCTTCCTTGTCAGTCAAATAAAGTACTGTGTAGCGGCAGATAAGGCAAAACATGAGCATTTCTGATTAAATGCAATGTTTTTATACTTACCTGATGCTACACCTATAGGCCCACACTTACTTCGTCCTCCTCCTCCGCCTTACCATTGGCGCCACTGTGTACTCTACATCTGATGTCATCCAGTGTAGAACATGAGGAGTAGGGTCCAAGGGGGATAACTCGTGGATGCCGAGGCACGGGTTGTAGTCTGTTTGTAGTCTTGTATAAGGTAGGGATTACAAGAAAGAAAGCAAAGATTAGCTTAAGAAATGTTTATTAGTGTGTGTTTAAATATGCTGAACTGCAAAAGAAACATCACCAAGAAATATATATGAGAAACCTTAAACTGTAAACACTGTAAACATACTTTGAGACATATTAAAAAGATGAAACTTGGCAAAACTGGTCATTCAGGTTGAAATTAAAGTGTCAAATGTTCTTAAAGTGAAACACAACACTAGTCCCTGAGGAAATTGCATCACAAGTAGGTATCTCGTGTGTCCGTTATGTGCATTGATGACTGCCGTGCAACGTCGATACATGGAATGGATCAGGCGGTTGATGAAGGCCATAGGCACTTGAGCCCACACTCTGAGGAACGCCTGACGCAGTTCAGCTGCAGTCGGCCTTGGTCGGATGTCATTCAGCCGTCTTTGAATCTCGTCCCACAGGTGCCAAATGAGGTATGGCGTGTGGTCTCAAGATTGATCAATGTACCGAGCTGCTGTGACACCAGTGCCTCTCCCAGGACCGATGTTCTGGAAGACCACAGGGCTGACCTCTGTGCAAGATCAATTCCACCCCACACCACAATGCTCGGACCACCCGACGAGTCTCTCTCAACAACACAAGCATCCGAATAACGCCAGACTCTCCCTCTGCCATCTGCTGTTGAGATACAGTAACGGCTCTCGTCTGAGAAGAGGACTCTTCTCCACTGCTGGTGGCGCCAATGCTGGTGCTGTGTTGCCCACTGAAGACGGTCCCGGCGATGACGTGGTGTCAGAATGGGTTTACTGCGTGGCCTGTGATAGTGGAGGTGTCTGCTCGTCAATCATCGACGCACGGTGTCGGCACTAATGTGTCGCTGGTGTCTCCCCATGGTCTGTCGAGCAGTCTCCGCAGCAGTAATAAAGCGATCTTGAAGATGCTGTCGCACAATCTGACTATCCTGACATCGGCTGGTGATTCCTGGTCTTCCCCTTCGTGGTCGGTCATTTGTATATTCAATAACAAATGAATGTTATCCGATCTTGGTGGATTTTTATAGAGCAAGAAATGGGGGAACGCATGTGCATCTCAATTTGCACGGAACTAACGTGCATCGGGTTACCATGGCCGTTGCGGTGATGCGTTTGGGCAATCAATTTTATTGTCATCTGCTTTGTTTTTTATATCATCAAATTTCATTTTTCGGGACAAAGTAATTTTAAATTTTAGCAACTTTGACAAAAATTACCCAGATATTTAAATGACAACTTTTCATGCAATGTTACTTGGGGTGATGTTTCTTTTCCGGCTCAGTATATATTGTGATTGCTATGATTTCTATCATTTGGAATATTACTGCCTCCAGGTAATGAAAGCGTTTCGAGAAGGTGGATACAACACTTTAGTGTCCACATGTGTTGGTGAAGAAGGCCTTGACATCGGGGATGTGGACTTGATTATCTGCTTCGATGCACACAAGTCTCCAATCCGCCTGGTGCAGAGAATGGGGCGTACAGGGAGGAAGAGACAAGGGCGCATAGTTATGCTGGTCACTGCAGGCAAGGAGGAACAGGTGAGGGGGACACTGGTAGAGTTGAGCAGGGACACTGGGTGGGTAGAGTGGGGACACTGGTAGAGTTGAGCAGGGACACTGGGTGGGTAGAGTGGGGACAGCGGCAGGGTAGAGTGGGGACACTGACAGGGTAGAGAGGGGACACTGACAGGGTAGAGTGGGGACACTGAAAGGGTAGAGTTGGGACACTTGGTGGGTAGAGAAGGGACACTGACAGGGTTGAGTGGGGACACTGACAGGGTAGAGTGGGGACAATGAAAGGGTAGAGTGGGGAGCAGTGGCAGAATAGAATGAAAGTGTAGAGTGGGGACACTGGGTGGGTAGAGTGGGGACACTGACAGGGTAGAGTGGGGACACTGACAGGGTAGACTGGGGACACTGGTAGAGTTGAGCAGGGACACTGGGTGGGTAGAGAGGGGACAATGAAAGTGTAGAGTGGGGACACTGACAGGGTAGAGCAGGGACACTGGGTGGGTAGAGTGGGGACACTGGGTGGGTAGAGTGGGGACACTGACAGGGTAGAGTGGGGACACTGACAGGGTAGAGTGGGGACACTGGTAGAGTTGAGCAGGGACACTGGGTGGGTAGAGTGGGGACACTGAAAGGGTAGAGTTGGGACACTTGGTGGGTAGAGAGGGGACACTGACAGGGTTGAGTGGGGACACTGACAGGGTAGAGTGGGGACAATGAAAGGGTAGAGTGGGGAGCAGTGGCAGAATAGAATGAAAGTGTAGAGTGGGGACACTGACAGGGTAGAGTGGGGACAATGAAAGGGTAGAGTGGGGAGCAGTGGCAGAATAGAATGAAAGTGTAGAGTGGGGACACTGGGTGGGTAGAGTGGGGACACTGGGTGGGTAGAGTGGGGACACTGACAGGGTAGAGTGGGGACACTGACAGGGTAGACTGGGGACACTGGTAGAGTTGAGCAGGGACACTGGGTGGGTAGAGAGGGGACCATGAAAGTGTAGAGTGGGGACACTGGGTGGGTAGATTGGGGACACTGACAGGGTAGAGTGGGGACACTGATAGAGTTGAGCAGGGACACTGGGTGGGAAGAGAGGGGACACTGACAGGGTAGAGTGGGGACACTGACAGGGTAGAGTGGGGAGCAGTGGCAGAATAGAAGGGGACAGCGGCAGGGTAGAGTGGGGACACTGGGTGGGTAGAGAGGTGTCACTGGGTGGGTATAGTGTGGACACTGACAGGTAGAGTGGGGACACTGACAGGGTAGAGATGGGACACTGAAAGGGTAGAGTGGGTGGCAGTGTAGAGTGGGGAGCAGTGGCAGGGTATAGTGTGGACACTGACGGGTAGAGCGTGGACACTGACGGGTAGAGTGGGGACACTGGGTGGGTAGAGAGGGGACACTGACAGGGTAGAGTGGGGACACTGACAGGGTAGAGTGGGGAGCAGTGGCAGGGTATAGTGTGGACACTGACGGGTAGAGCGTGGACACTGACGGGTAGAGTGGGGACACTGAAAGGGTAGAGAGGGGACAGCGGCAGGGTAGAGTGGGGACACTGACAGGGTAGAGTGGGGACACTGACAGGGCAGACTGTGGATACTGACAGGATAGAGTGGGGACACTGACAGGGTAGAGTTGGGACACTGACAGGGTAGAGTGGGGACACAGACATGGTAGAGTGGTGACACTGACAGAGAAGGGGTTGGTGCAGAATGACAACAGTAGAGTGTGGGTGTAGCTCCCAGGGGTAGGTGTGGAATGACAACAGTAGAGTGTGGGTGTAGCTCCCAGGGGTAGGTGTGGAATGACAACAGTAGAGTGTGGGTGTAGCTCCCAGGGGTAGGTGTGGAATGACAACAGTAGAGTGTGGGTGTAGCTCCCAGGGGTAGGTGGGGAATGACAACAGTAGAGTGTGGGTGTAGCTCCCAGGGGTAGGTGGGGAATGACAACAGTAGAGTGTGGGTGTAGCTCCCAGGGGTAGGTGGAGAATGACAACAGTAGAGTGTGGTTGTAGCTCCCAGGGGTAGGTGGGGAATGACAACAGTAGAGTGTGGGTGTAGCTCCCAGGGGTAGGTGTAGAGCTACATCAGTAGAGTGTAAAAGATCCCACGGGTATATATGGAATGACGACAGTAGAGTGTGGATGTAGCCCTCAGTGATAGGTGCGAAATGACAACAGTACAGCCAGGATGGATGTAGCACCCAGGGGTAGGTGTAGAGCTACATCAGTAGAGTGTAAAAGATCACACGGGTATATATGGAATGACGATAGTAGAGTGTAGTAGATCCCTTGACAAGACCGAGAGAAATATGAATTGAAAGTATTTGAGGTATTTGAGGAAGACAGTGTGTGCCAGGTAGAAACTGTCGATACAACATGTATATGTTTTAAGGATATTTATATCACGAAATGTGTGAATCTGGATCGGTACACAAGTAAAGACTTATATTAATACCATTCCAGATGTCATACAATGTCATCAATTATAATGTACAGTCAAGGGTAAGTTATAAGGTAATATGTTTGTATAAAAACACATTTATCATCCCTGAGGTAAACAGTCGATCAAATGAAAGGCTGCACTTACGGATAGAATATGGAAATCTACCAGAGGCTGATATATATTCATGAACACATTTTTATATTTCTAAATTAATCTTGACTGTAACATTTCCATTCCAATAAGAATAGAGTTTAGATCATAACCTTTGGTGTTAAAATAGAACAGTTTGGATTACCTGATATTAACATTTTAATCCTGTCAGCATTGAGGTAACTTCAGCCAAGTCTCAGGAAATGGTGCACAATTTGGTTAAATCCACACCCACATTTTAAATAAAATGTGTTGCAATGCATGTCATCACCTTTCATCATTGTATATTTAGGGGGAAGGAGGGAAAGTTGTTGATAGCCTGAATGTTTGTTATAGGTTTACAACCAGAGCCAGTACTCTAAGCGTAGTATTCACAAAGGCATCCTTAATGGAGCACGATCTTTGCATCTGTACCCAAATAATCCCCGAATGCTGCCTGATGGCCTTGCTCCAGCATGTCACAAGATGTTCATCACTGTCAAGGATGTTGCCCGCTTGAATCCAGTCCCCAAGGACCCAGGAGAAACCCAGCAGCGGAAGCTCCTGACAGGCAAGACTGGAACACGTACAGGTAGGGGGTCAGTTGATTCTGCTGAACCTTTGTACAGTGCTCCCGACCACAGCCATAGGCCACAAGCTTTCCTTTACTATTGAAGGCAACAATAGAAACTAACAGTTTTGGTCCACTAGTCCTTATAATGGTAACAAATAGCAAAACCCTTATAAGTGGCAAATTTCTACTAGTTCTTATTATATCACTACTGTTGGGCAGCTTGGCAAGGACTACAGGACTAGTGCCAATTTCCATTGCCAGAAGGGGCTGTTGGTTCTGTTATCTTTCTCAGCTGTAAACTGTGTCAGTTATGGAATTCAGTTGATCAACGGCAGCTTTCAGATGATCATGTTTGCCGTTTAAGTAATTGTCCTTTGCCATTTACACCACTTGTACATCGACAATGACTGTTGTGTACCTAATTACATAAATTATCAAAATACTTGTGTTTTTATCATCAGTTTCTGGCGTATTAACTGATGCCAGTTCACACTGATATGTTGTTATGTTATTGCAATGTATAGATTGGTTTAGCCCAGTGGTTGTGATGATTTATATCTCACACTGTTTCTTTGTTGTAACTCAGCAGAATGGCCAATAATCATCACTGTTCTCATGGCTTGCTTCTATGTCCATGATTTCTGTTAACAGATTATGTCAAATGTTGTTTGCGTGGATTTTGGAAACAATTAACCTTATGAATTAGTATCAGCAGTGTGGTCTGTGTTGTGAGTGTGGCTTGTCTCACCTGTGTGGTTTGTGTAGTAAGTGTGGCTGTCTCAGCAGTGTGGTGTGTGTAGTGAGTGTGGCGGTCTCAGCAGTGTGGTTTGTGTAGTAAGTGTGGCTGTCTCAGCAGTGTGGTTTGTGTAGTGTTTGTGGCTGTCTCAGCGGTGTGGTTTGTGTAGTGTGTGTGGCTGTCTCAGCGGTGTGGTTTGTGTAGTGAGTGTGGCTGTCTCAGCAGTGTGGTGTGTGTAGTGTGTGTGGCTGTCTCAGCGGTGTGGTGTGTGTAGTAAGTGTGGCTGTCTCAGCGGTGTGGTGTGTGTAGTGTGTGTGGCTGTCTCAGCGGTGTGGTTTGTGTAGTAAGTGTGGCTGTCTCAGCAGTGTGGTGTGTGTAGTGTGTGTGGCTGTCTAGGCGGTGTGGTGTGTGTAGTGTGTGTGTCTGTCTCAGCAGTGTGGTTTGTGTAGTAAGTGTGGCTGTCTCAGCTGTGTGGTTTGTGTAGTGAGTGTGGCTGTCTCAGCAGTGTGGTTTGTGTAGTGAGTGTGGCTGTCTCAGCTGTGTGGTTTGTGTAATGTGTGTGGCTGTCTCAGCTGTGTGGTTTGTGTAGTAAGTGTGGCTGTCTCAGCTGTGTGGTCTGTGTAGTGAGTGGGGCTGTCTCAGCTATGTGGTTTGTGTAGTGTATGTGGCTGTCTCAGCTGTGTGGTTTGTGTAGTATGTGTGGCTGTCTCAGCTGTGTTGTTTGTGTAGTGTGTGGGGCTGTCTCAGCTATGTGGTTTGTGTAGTGTATGTGGCTGTCTCAGCTGTGTGGTTTGTGTAGTATGTGTGGCTGTCTCAGCTGTGTGGTTTGTGTAGTGAGTGTGGCTGTCTCAGCAGTGTGGTTTGTGTAGTGTGTGTGGCTGTCTCAGCTGTGTGGTTTGTGTAGTATGTGTGGCTGTCTCAGCAGTGTGGTTTGTGTAGTGAGTGTGGCTGCCTCAGCTGTGTGGTTTGTGTAGTAAGTGTGGCTGTCTCAGCAATGTGGTTTGTGTAGTGTGTGTGGCTGTCTCAGCAGTGTGGTTTATGTAGTGTGTGGCTGTCTCAGCAGTGTGGTTTGTGTAGTAAGTGTGGCTGTCTCAGCAGTGTGGTGTGTGTAGTGAGTGTGGCTGTCTCAGCTGTGTACTTTGTGTAGTGAGTGTGGCTGTCTCAGCTGTGTGGTTTGTGTAGTGTGTGGGGCTGTCTCAGCTGTGTGGTCTGTGTAGTAAGTGTGGCTGTCTCAGCTGTGTGGTTTGTGTAGTGTGTGGGGCTGTCTCAGCTGTGTGGTCTGTGTAGTGTGTGTGGCTGTGTCAGCTGTGTGGTTTGTGTAGTGAGTGTGGCTGTCTCAGCTGTGTAGTTTGTGTAGTGTGTGGGGCTGTCTCAGCTATGTGGTTTGTGTAGTGTATGTGGCTGTCTCAGCTGTGTGGTTTGTGTAGTATGTGTGGCTGTCTCAGCTGTGTGGTTTGTGTAGTGAGTGTGGCTGTCTCAGCAGTGTGGTTTGTATAGTATGTGTGGCTGTCTCAGCTGTGTGGTCTGTGTAGTAAGTGTGGCTGTCTCAGCTGTGTGGTCTGTGTAGTGTGTGTGGCTGTCTCAGCTGTGTGGTCTGTGTAGTGTGTGTGGCTGTCTCAGCTGTGTGGTTTGTGTAATGTGTGTGACTGTCTCAGCTGTGTGGTTTGTGTAGTGTGTGTGGCTGTCTCAGCAGTGTGGTTTGTGTAGTGAGTGTGGCTGTCTCAGCGGTGTGGTTTGTGTAGTAAGTGTGGCTGTCTCAGCAGTGTGGTGTGTGTAGTGAGTGTGGCTGTCTCAGCTGCGTGGTTTGTGTAGTGAGTGTGGCTTGTCTCAGCAGTGTGGTTTGTGTAGTGAGTGTGGCTGTCTCAGCTGTCTGGTGTGTGTAGTAAGTGTGGCTGTCTCAGCAGTGTGGTGTGTGTAGTGTGTGTGGCTGTCTCAGCTGTGTGGTTTATGTAGTGAGTGTGGCTGTCTCAGCTGTGTGGTTTGTGTAGTGAGTGTGGCTGTCTCAGCAGTGTGGTTTGTGTAGTGTGTGTGGCTGTCTCAGCTGTGTGGTTTGTGTAGTGTGTGTGGCTGTCTCAGCTGTGTGGTTTGTGTAGTGAGTGTGGCTGTCTCAGCAGTGTGGTTTGTGTAGTGTGTGTGGCTGTCTCAGCTGTGTGGTTTGTGTAGTGTGTGTGGCTGTCTCAGCTGTGTGGTTTGTGTAGTGAGTGTGGCTGTCTCAGCTGTGTGGTTTGTGTAGTGTTTGTGGCTGTCTCAGCTGTGTGGTTTGTGTAGTGAGTGTGGCTGTCTCAGCTGTGTGGTTTGTGTAGTGAGTGTGGCTTGTCTCAGCAGTGTGGTGTGTGTAGTGAGTGTGGCTGTCTCAGCTGTGTGGTTTGTGTAGTGTTTGTGGCTGTCTCAGCTGTGTGGTTTGTGTAGTGAGTGTGGCTGTCTCAGCGGTGTGGTTTGTGTAGTGAGTGTGGCTTGTCTCAGCAGTGTGGTGTGTGTAGTGAGTGTGGCTGTCTCAGCTGTGTGGTTTGTGTAGTGTTTGTGGCTGTCTCAGCTGTGTGGTTTGTGTAGTGAGTGTGGCTGTCTCAGCTGTGTGGTTTGTGTAGTGAGTGTGGCTGCCTCAGCTGTGTGGTTTGTGTAGTAAGTGTGGCTGTCTCAGCAGTGTGGTTTGTGTAGTGTGTGTGGCTGTCTCAGCAGTGTGGTTTATGTAGTGTGTGGCTGTCTCAGCAGTGTGGTTTGTGTAGTAAGTGTGGCTGTCTCAGCAGTGTGGTGTGTGTAGTGAGTGTGGCTGTCTCAGCTGTGTACTTTGTGTAGTGAGTGTGGCTGTCTCAGCTGTGTGGTTTGTGTAGTGTGTGGGGCTGTCTCAGCTGTGTGGTCTGTGTAGTGTGTGTGGCTGTCTCAGCTGTGTACTTTGTGTAGTGAGTGTGGCTGTCTCAGCTGTGTGGTTTGTGTAGTGTGTGGGGCTGTCTCAGCTATGTGGTTTGTGTAGTGTATGTGGCTGTCTCAGCTGTGTGGTGTGTGTAGTAAGTGTGGCTGTCTCAGCAGTGTGGTTTGTGTAGTGAGTGTGGTTTGTGTAGTATGTGTGGCTGTCTCAGCAGTGTGGTTTGTGTAGTGAGTGTGGCTGCCTCAGCTGTGTGGTTTGTGTAGTAAGTGTGGCTGTCTCAGCAATGTGGTTTGTGTAGTGTGTGTGGCTGTCTCAGCAGTGTGGTTTATGTAGTGTGTGGCTGTCTCAGCAGTGTGGTTTGTGTAGTGTGTGTGGCTGTGTCAGCTGTGTGGTTTGTGTAGTGAGTGTGGCTGTCTCAGCTGTGGGGTTTGTGTAGTGTGTGGGGCTGTCTCAGCTATGTGGTTTGTGTAGTGTATGTGGCTGTCTCAGCTGTGTGGTTTGTGTAGTATGTGTGGCTGTCTCAGCTGTGTGGTTTGTGTAGTGAGTGTGGCTGTCTCAGCAGTGTGGTTTGTGTAGTGTGTGTGGCTGTCTCAGCTGTGTGGTTTGTGTAGTAAGTGTGGCTGTCTCAGCAGTGTGGTTTATGTAGTGTGTGGCTGTCTCAGCTGTGTGGTTTGTGTAGTGAGTGTGGCTATCTCAGCGGTGTGGTTTGTGTAGTGTGTGTGGCTGTCTCAGCTGTGTGGTTTGTGTAGTGAGTGGGGCTGTCTCAGCTGTGTGGTTTGTGTAGTGTGTGTGGCTGTCTTAGCTGTGTGGTTTGTGTAGTGTATGTGGCTGTCTCAGCAGTGTGGTTTGTATAGTGAGTGTTCTTGTTTTCTGGTTACAGGGCGGAAGTTGCTTCCCAAGAGCGAGGAAGCCACAATAACAGAAGAGGAGTACAGTGAACTGAAGGCGTTTCTGGTGTCCCATTTCAAGTGTCCACCGCCACGTCCCACACTCCTCTATCTGGGCAGCCAGGTCTCTCACTGTAGTCTAGTAGCATCCAACTTTTATGATGTCATTAGTTTCTTCTTAATATATTCTAAGCAATCACAGACACTTCGCAGAATGAGAATATATATGTGTATGTCATTGAAATCAAAACTTCAGTTTCATCGTATTAAAAGTTTGATTGAAATATATATGATGAGTCCATTAAGTTATAATTTTCGGATTTGTGTATGTTTTTGCTCAATATACTCAGTTAGAACAAAAATGAGAGAGTGACAAGTTACCGGTGTGCATGCGCGGCTCAAGGAGAAAAAGAGAGAGATAAGCAATTAGTATGAGTCAGGATAAGTATAAATGATATTTTTACTCTTAAAAATACATTTTTGATCAAAATCTGACATTGTGACATGTTTCAGTTGCAAAAGGAAACTGAAGGAGAGAATACATTATCTCTGACTGAGTGGACGTTATGGCAAAACCGTCTGCAGGACACACAATTTGTTGATCACTCGAGGCGCAGTGAGCACCTAGTGGAACTAATCGAGTTCCTCCAACTACAGGGTGAGTTCAAGTGTACAAACATGTTATAGTTACTTCTGCGAATGAAGTTGAGGTATTAACAAACATTGAACTCCAATACAGTAACCTGTAATACCAGATTAACCTTTCATAAAATAACCTGAACACCACATGGCATTTCGTTATGAATTCTGAGCTTGCTACCAATTCATCCACTGAGGCCTCATACATAGAAGGAATTGTAAGCCCCTGAGAAGAGTGCCTCTGGAGCAAGACCTCAAGCTTTGCCCTCAATCTCACAGTCCCATGCCTTTCTTCCCTCGAGTTTTGCAATCCCAATGATAAACTTGCATTCATGTTTTATCCAACTCATAGTTACTTCAGTAAATGAGGCTGATGCAGGTTATGGTAACTTCAGTGGATGAGGCTGATGCAGGTTATAGTAACTTCAGTAAATGAGGCTGATGCAGGTTATAGTTACTTCAGTAAATGAGGCTGATGCAGGTTATAGTAACTTCAGTGGATGAGGCTGATGCAGGTTATAGTAACTTAGTGGATGAGGCTGATGCAGGTTATAGTAACTTCAGTGGATGAGGCTGATACAGGTTATGGTAACTTCAGTAAATGAGGCTGATGCAGGTTATAGTAACTTCAGTGGATGAGGCTGATACAGGTTATAGTAACTTCAGTAAATGAGGCTGATACAGGTTATAGTAACTTCAGTGGATGAGGCTGATGCAGGTTATAGTAACTTCAGTAAATGAGGCTGATGCAGGTTATAGTTACTTCAGTAAATGAGGCTGATGCAGGTTATGGTAACTTCAGTGGATGAGGCTGATGCAGGTTATAGTAACTTAGTGGATGAGGCTGATACAGGTTATAGTAACTTCAGTGGATGAGGCTGATACAGGTTATAGTAACTTCAGTAAATGAGGCTGATGCAGGTTATAGTTACTTCAGTAAATGAGGCTGATGCAGGTTATAGTAACTTCAGTGGATGAGGCTGATGCAGGTTATAGTAACTTCAGTAAATGAGGCTGATGCAGGTTATAGTTACTTCAGTAAATGAGGCTGATGCAGGTTATAGTAACTTCAGTGGATGAGGCTGATGCAGGTTATAGTAACTTAGTGGATGAGGCTGATGCAGGTTATAGTAACTTCAGTGGATGAGGCTGATACAGGTTATGGTAACTTCAGTAAATGAGGCTGATGCAGGTTATAGTAACTTCAGTGGATGAGGCTGATACAGGTTATAGTAACTTCAGTAAATGAGGCTGATACAGGTTATAGTAACTTCAGTGGATGAGGCTGATGCAGGTTATAGTAACTTCAGTAAATGAGGCTGATGCAGGTTATAGTTACTTCAGTAAATGAGGCTGATGCAGGTTATAGTAACTTCAGTGGATGAGGCTGATACAGGTTATAGTAACTTCAGTGGATGAGGCTGATGCAGGTTATAGTAACTTCAGTGGATGAGGCTGATGCAGGTTATAGTAACTTCAGTGGATGAGGCTGAAGCAGGTTATAGTAACTTCAGTGGATGAGGCTGATGCAGGTTATAGTAACTTCAGTGGATGAGGCTGATACAGGTTATAGTAACTTCAGTGGACGAGGCTGATGCAGGTTATAGTAACTTCAGTGGATTAGGCTGATGCAGGTTATAGTAACTTCAGTGGACGAGGCTGATGCAGGTTATAGTAACTTCAGTGGATGAGGCTGATACAGGTTATAGTAACTTCAGTGGACGAGGCTGATGCAGGTTATAGTAGCTTCATTGGATGAGGCTGATGCAGGTTATAGTAACTTCAGTGGATGAGGCTGATGCAGGTTATAGTAACTTCAGTAAATGAGGCTGATGCAGGTTATGGTAACTTCAGTAAATGAGGCTGATGCAGGTTATGGTAACTTCAGTAAAAGAGGCTGATACAGGTTATAGTAACTTCAGTGGATGAGGCTGATGCAGGTTATAGTAACTTCAGTGGATAAGGCTGATGCAGGTTATAGTAACTTCAGTAAATGAGGCTGATGCAGGTTATAGTAACTTCAGTGGATGAGGCTGATACAGGTTATAGTAACTTCAGTGAATGAGGCTGATGCAGGTTATGGTAACTTCAGTAAATGAGGTTGATGCAGGTTATAGTAACTTCAGTGGATGAGGCTGATGCAGGTTATAGTAACTTCAGTGGATGAGGCTGATGCAGGTTATAGTAAATTTTGTGGATGAGGCTGATACAGGTTATAGTAACTTCAGTGGATGAGGCTGATGCAGGTTATAGTAACTTCAGTGGATGAGGCTGATGCAGGTTATAGTAAATTTTGTGGATGAGGCTGATACAGGTTATAGTAACTTCAGTGGATGAGGCTGATGCAGGTTATAGTAACTTCAGTGGATGAGGCTGATGCAGGTTATAGTAACTTCAGTGGATGAGGCTGATGCAGGTTATAGTAAATTTTGTGGATGAGGCTGATACAGGTTATAGTAACTTCAGTGGATGAGGCTGATGCAGGTTATAGTAACTTCAGTGGATGAGGCTGATGCAGGTTATAGTAACTTCAGTGGATGAGGCTGATGCAGGTTATAGTAACTTTTGTGGATGAGGCTGATACAGGTAATAGTAACGTCAGTAAATGAGGCTGATGCAGGTAATAGTAACTTCAGTGGATGAGGCTGATGCAGGTTATGGTAACTTCAGTGGATGAGGCTGATGCAGGTTGTAAGTAACTTCAGTTGATGAGGCTGATGCAGGTTATGGTAACTTCATTGGATGAGGCTGATGCAGGTTATAGTAACTTCAGTGGATGAGGCTGAAGCAGGTTTTGGTAACTTTTGTGGATGAGGCTGATGCAGGTTATAGTAACTTCAGTGGATGAGGCTGATACAGGTTATAGTAACTTCAGTGGATGAGGCTGATGCAGGTTATAGTAACTTCAGTGGATGAGGCTGATGCAGGTTATAGTAACTTCAGTAAAAGAGGCTGATACAGGTTATAGTAACTTCAGTGGATGAGGCTGATGCAGGTTATGGTAACTTCAGTAAATGAGGCTGATACAGGTTATAGTAACTTTTGTGGATGAGGCTGATGCAGGTTAAAGTATTTTTTGTGGATGAGGCTGATACAGGTTATAGTAACCTTTGTGTTTGAGGCTGATACAGCACATGGCATTTGGCACATGGCATTTCGTTATGAATTCTGAGCTTGTTACCAATTCATCCACTGAGGCCTCATACATAGAAGGAATTGTAAGCCCCTGAGAAGAGTGCCTCTGGAGCAAGACCTCAAGCTTTGCCCTCAATCTCACAGTCCCATGCCTTTCTTCCCTCGAGTTTTGCAATCCCAATGATAAACTTGCATTCATGTTTTATCCAACTCATAGTTACTTCAGTAAATGAGGCTGATGCAGGTTATGGTAACTTCAGTGGATGAGGCTGATGCAGGTTATAGCAGTGGATGAGGCTGATGCAGGTTATAGTAACTTAGTGGATGAGGCTGATGCAGGTTATAGTAACTTCAGTGGATGAGGCTGATACAGGTTATGGTAACTTCAGTAAATGAGGCTGATGCAGGTTATAGTAACTTCAGGAGATGAGGTTGATACAGGTCATGGTAACTTCAGTGGATGAGGCTGATGCAGGTTATAGTAACTTCAGTGGATGAGGCTAATGCAGGTTATAGTAACTTCAGTGGATGAGGCTTATGCAGGTCATGGTAACTTAAGTGCCTGAGGCTGATACAGGTTATAGTAAATTCAGGAGATGAGGTTGATACAGGTTATAGTAACTTCAGGAGATGAGGTTGATACAGGTTAGTATATTTCAGTTGCAGGCTCAGCAATTAGTTTGAAATTTCCTTAAACCTTTGGTTATTTTGAATTAGATGTAGCAACATGAAACATATTAAGATTTATATTATAAAAACGATGCTATCTAGTGTTCACTTTTCTTGTTCCCCCTTTACAGAAACATTGCCTGGAAATGAGGACCATTATGGTGTTGAGATGGAGATGTATCTGAAGCGTGAGGATGTGCTGCAGCCAGGGGAGAAAGATGACTCGGAACAGGGAGGGGGCATCCTCAGGTTCTGTACCACAAGTGGGCATCAGAAGCACCCAACAAGAGGGAAGCCGGCTGGGTTGACTGCCAGGAGGACAGTCGGGGGGACTGAGATACTACCAGTCATTGAGGACTGGGAAGGGGAGAGGGAGGATAGTGAGGGGGAGCTGCCAGAGTGTCATACCACTGGCATGGTTGTACAGGGAGCAGACAAGCAAGAACAGTATGTAATCAAAAGTATTTCTCCACAACATGCTAAAGCAAAGAACAATAACAAAATTGAATTCCATAAAGATAAAATGAAGCAGGATCTAAACATTAAAAGAACAAAAAGCAAGAAATTTGTGAGGGAAGGAAGCTTAATCAAGCCTATCATGCTTGATGAGGGTGACTTTGAAGAAGACGCTCCAGTTGCAGTGATAGATATGAAACAAGACGAAGATTCCTTACATTGTGATGAGTGGAGTATGGATTTAAATCTTGGTCTAGAGAGGGAAAACTTACATGTAACTCATACAGAATCTTTAGATGTGAACATCTCTGGAGATCAACAAGTCAATTCCTTTATATTACAGCAACCTACTGATGTGGTTTCTCAGGGTAGTGTGTCCAATTGCCCATTAAAGCTAGGAACATTCATGATTAGAACAGCCCCACCCTTGCAGGTGGTTGACATGGTATTCAGTGATCTGAGAAATGAGGCTGTGTTACCTACGTTAGATCTTAAACAGCTTGTTTGCGAGTGGTATGAGGAAAGTTATGGACCAGCTGGGCTGGTGTATGTGACTTCCCGGGAGAAGCAACATGAAATTACTTTTGGCACAAATCAAGAAAAGGCCAGACTTTGTGAAGGTAGTGCACTGTGCAGTAGTTTGAGTGCTACCACGGGTGACAGGGCAAATGTGTTGCAGTCTGCTAATCAGGGCATTGCAGGTATCAGTGACCAATCCGGTCCAGACTCAGATATACATACATTCACTTGGATGAAACCAGCACCATCAGTGCCTGAAAGCGACACAGCAAAGAAAAATCTGTCAGTGTTAAATCTAAATATTATGAAAAACATACCCTCTGGTACTGAAACCTTTCCTTCACAAGGACCAGAAAAAACAATTCTTGCAACATGTGATAAAGCTTGTGGTGACATCATAGACCTTGGTGTAAGTATGAACAGAAGTGTACATTTCAGGGAGAGTATTATGGAAATTGATGACCATAGGATTATCAGAAGTGATAAGCCTAACAAACAGGAGCAAGACATGAACAGTTTACATAATATGTACACTGATTGTACATCAAAAGAAACTGGGTCACAACATTCATATTTTGAAGATGACATAATGAACAACAAGTACCCAGATGTTTCCACACCCCAAATATTACATATAGCCAGATCCCCTCACCCAGAGGTTCTCACTTTCACCCAGGCCCTGCTGTGTGTGCAGAGTAGTGAGGAACACCCACAGGACCAAGGGCAGCTTGTGGTGGAAGACTTCGAACAGGAAGAACACCCACAGGACCAAGGGCAGCTTGTGGTGGAAGACTTCGAACAGGAAGAACACCCACAGGACCAAGGGCAGCTTGTGGTGGAAGACTTCGAACAGGAAGAACACCCACAGGACCAAGGGCAGCTTGTGGTGGAAGACTTCGAACAGGAAGAACACCCACAGGACCAAGGGCAGCTTGTGGTGGAAGACTTCGAACAGGAAGAACACCCACAGGACCAAGGGCAGCTTGTGGTGGAAGACTTCGAACAGGAAGAACACCCACAGGACCAAGGGCAGCTTGTGGTGGAAGACTTCGAACAGGAAGAACACCCACAGGACCAAGGGCAGCTTGTGGTGGAAGACTTCGAACAGGAAGAACACCCACAGGACCAAGGGCAGCTTGTGGTGGAAGACTTCGAACAGGAAGAACACCCACAGGACCAAGGGCAGCTTGTGGTGGAAGACTTCGAACAGGAGGAACACCCACAGGACCAAGGGCAGCTTGTGGTGGAAGACTTCGAACAGGAAGAACACCCACAGGACCAAGGGCAGCTTGTGGTGGAAGACTTCGAACAGGAAGAACACCCACAGGACCAAGGGCAGCTTGTGGTGGAAGACTTAAAACAGGAGACAGATGATATTGATCATTTTATGCCAAGCTTTAATCTCTTTGATGATGCTACAGATCATGACGATGGGTACCAGCATGAACAGCAAACGTACCTAGGTTCTTCCTCATCTGATATTGTGAAGCATTCATTCTCTGAGATAAAGATGAACCGAGAGCCTGTGACATTTGTTGAAGGTTCACATATCGAGTCTGCTCCAGGAATGGTGTATAGTGAAAAGCAACAACATTCAAAAGTTACTTATGTGACGGCAGCTACTCAACCTCACTCAGATGACAATGGGTGCGATTTTGACTTCCCACATTTTGACCTTGAATTTGACTTTGATGATGATATCATACCGCCATCCCCTATGGCAGCTCAAACATTTTCTCAGATGTCCCTAAGTCGTTCTCAAATTAACATCACAAGTCGAAAAAAATTAAACTTCAAGGAAACTGATGATTTAGTTTCAGGGGAGAGAGATGAGGATGTGACAACCATGGTATGTGGGGTTGTTGGGAAGACATCAAATGAGCCTCAGCATATGTCCTTGGACAATCCACTGGCTGATGATCTAGGCACTGTAAACTTGACTAACAGTCCAGAAGCAGCTGCACTAACTGAGGAAAGAAATATACATCAAACCTCTGCTTCAAAAGCTGACATGATATCTTCCTCAGTTGTGTTTGTCAAGGCAGATCGAGGAGAGGATCTGACTCCCATGCCTAGAGCCCCATTCCTCTACAGTCCTTTGTCAAGCCATGCCCGAAGCAGCACTCCTAAGGCTGGCGTGTCCAAGATGTCCTCATGCATCTCATATCTGGCTAAAGTTGCTACCCCAGTAATGAACAAAGTCTCCTCCATGGTTAGGACTGCTAGTGGCGGTATGCCTGACAGTCTACATTCTACATTGGCACAAACAAACCAGTTGTCTAATAGTCCCAGCGCTTCCACACCCAGCGGTCCACAGGAAGGTATGTATTTACACAGTGAACTTGCAACATATGGAGGAATTAAAGATTATCTAACATTGGCAGGGGAATTGATTAATGTTTACAGTGTAATTATGGAAGAAATGTGGCAGAGTATGGGTAACTTAGATTCAGACTTTTTGACCCAGAAGCTTTCTTCATCAAATAAAATGCCGTCATGAACAATAATTCCTTTACAGTTTATACTACTGTCAGGGATATCATATCATGTATATCTCCTGAAAAAAAAATTGTATTCTGCCTAACTCAAGAAGGATTGCCTATGATTTCTCAGTATGTTAGACAGAGGCCATGAGCTGGCATGAGGTTGTGGTAGACATGCATTTTGCCAAACTATGGTATGACACTGGAAATGCATGGTGGTATGTAATGCTTTCTGGGGACTTCCAGAAATAGCAGTGAAGAGATTGTTTCTCTAAATACTTGCAAACACTTAATTATTAGGAATACAATACCTCTCTAACATCAGTGACAGAAATCCTGTATTTTGGCTGTCATCACACCATAAAAATCTTCGAATTGTCATCACAAATCCTTTTCACTGTCAACTCTCCATTACCAGTTGTGACATTAATTGCATCCCCTTTCCCAAAGGATCTTGCACTTGTGTGTGCTACTGTCAACAGATAGAGGCTTGGTGAAGGGATATACTATTAGTGTCACAACTGGTTATAGATAGTGAAGAGATAGTGTTGAAAATCTGAAGAATTCTAAAGTAGGATGACAGCTGAAATACAGGATTTCTGGCACTGATGTTATGGAGGTTGTATTCTTTGAATTAATAACAATGACAACTATTGTTTTACATTTCTAGTTTGGTTTGTGTTATTTCTGAAAAGAGCATTTCCAAAGATATGAGTGAGTAGACAGAAAAAACGTAACATAGTTTCCTACCGTATCTCATCTGTGGGTGTTGTAGCTTGTGGGGCTGAGCACACTGAAGTTGAGGAGGAGAGTTTCCGTTTAGTTAGGAAAAGGAAGGTGGCAGCCATTCTGGAGGATACTGGAGATTCCTTCTCTTTCCAACATGGACAGGAAAGTAGAGGTATGTGATTGTGGTTATGTCACGTTTGATCCTTAGAGGAATAACCCTCTGAATATGGTAAAATATGAAGTAAGAATGATGCCACAGGAGTATGTAAAGCCATGTGCTGACTAAACATGGTTTCAGAAGAATGTGTTTCATAATTAACATCGTAATATGCTTTGTTACAAGATGAAAGTCACTGACAGTACTTTATCCAGCAGCCACAAACATGACAAAGTTGTCCGTGGAAGGTGTTGTGCCCTATACATTGTGTCTGTCACTGGCCACAGGAATAAGAATGCTTGATACATAACATAATCCTACTTACGTGGCTCAGCATAGGGCATTTAGCAACATATTGAAGTCAAACAACACAACTGCTGTTGCTCTTTCTCCACCATTTCACGTCAAGTCACCTTGCCACATACTGTCAATTCATGTCAGTTTTACAGTATCCTATTGTGCAACCAACTCAACAAGCACAGTTAAAGCAGTCTGCTCACATGAATGGTGGAAACATAAGTTTTAACTTGTATGCAGGAAAACATCTCAAATCACAATATCCAGTGAGACAAAACTTTGGCTATGTTTACATGGGTTGCTCGTCCCAACAATTCACTTGTTGAATGTTTGGTGTCATGCACTTAAACTGAACCAAATTTATATAATAACATTAACACAATTCCTCTTTATTGCTTGTGGTTTAGATAGCCCCGTTCCAGGATTTTAATTTACCACACTGCTTATTAAAGAAAGGATTTTAGGCACATTGTTCTTTTATAGCACAAAGTTTGCTCTACCCCATGTGTAGCTTAATAAAGTATAGTTTTGGCCTGAACTATTAAAACATCAAGTCACTTGGACACAAGCGTCGTTATTCTTTAACTATGATAGTTCATGGCAAAACACTTTGTTACACTACACATGGGGTAGAGCAAACCTAAATAAAGAGGATCACAAAAACACTGTAAACCAAATAAAGAAATTTGAGTATTTGGGCACAAAACATTTAAACATTAAATTTGTCAACAGCCTCAAAATAAAAAAGGTGTATGGAATGTCATCTAGATGACCCATTTGAAATTAACATGTTACATTACTGGTATCATTGAGTGTCAAAATGTGAAATATTTGCTTATTTTCACTATTATACGAATGTTAATGGACATATTGCAGTCCATATTCCTGTCCCTGCATTTCCCTGTATACATGTTAGTGTTTTGGTTGTCAGATGTGAAGGTCCTGTCCTTCAAGACTCCATCTCGGCCTGCTGCCAGAAAGAAGCAGAAGATGAAGGTAATGCAACACACTTATGTCAGGGAGTTCAGGGCAGCACTTATATGTCTGATGTCAGGGAGTTCAGGGCAGCGCTAATATGTCTTATGTCAGGGAGTTCAGGGCAGCGCTAATATGTCTGTTGTCAGGGAGTTCAGGGCAGCGCTAATATGTCTGTTGTCGGGGAGTTAAGGGCAGCTCTAATATGTCTGATGTCAGGGTGTTCAGGGCAGTGCTCATATGTCTGATGTCAGGGAGTTCAGGGCAGCGCTAATATGTCTGATGTCAGGGAGTTCAGGGCAGCTCTAATATGTCTGATGTCAGGGAGTTCAGGGCAGCACTTATATGTCTCATGTCAGGGTGTTCAGGGCAGCGCTAGTATGTCTGATGTCAGGGTGTTCAGGACAGTGCTAATGTGTCTGATGTCAGGGAGTTCAGGGCAGCGCTAATATGTCTGATGTCAGGGAGTTCAGGGCAGCGCTAATATGTCTGATGTCAGGGAGTTCAGGGCAGCTCTGATATGTCTGTTGTCAGGGAGTTCAGGGCAGCGCTAATATGTCTTGTCAGGGAGTTCAGGGCAGCACTAATATGTCTGATGTCAGGGAGTTCAGGGCAGCGCTAATATGTCTGATGTCAGGAAGTTCAGGGCAGCACTAATATGTCTGATGTCAGGGAGTTCAGGGCAGCACTAATATGTCTGATGTCAGGGAGTTCAGGGCAGCGCTAATATGTCTGATGTCAGGGAGTTCAGGGCAGCACTAATATGTCTGATGTCAGGGTGTTCAGGGCAGCACTAATATGTCTGATGTCAGGGTGTTCAGGGCAGCGCTAATATGTCTGATGTCAGGGAGTTCAGGGCAGCGCTAATATGTCTTATGTCAGGGAGTTCAGGGCAGCGCTAATATGTCTGATGTCAGGGAGTTCAGGGCAGCGCTAATATGTCTGTTGTCAGGGAGTTCAGGGCAGCGCTAATATGTCTTATGTCAGGGAGTTCAGGGCAGCGCTAATATGTCTGATGTCAGGGAGTGCAGGGCAGCACTAATATGTCTGATGTCAGGGAGTTCAGGGCAGCGCTAATATGTCTTATGTCAGGGAGTTCAGGGCAGCGCTAATATGTCTGTTGTCAGGGAGTTCAGGGCAGCGCTAATATGTCTGTTGTCAGGGAGTTCAGGGCAGCACTAATATGTCTGTTGTCAGTTTTTCAGTTTGTTTTTCAGATATTGCAGTAAACGTTGGTAGGGCTGGGACGAGTCCAATTTTACTACCCGGGTAACCCCCCTCTATTGCCTGACCCTACCCGGGTACCCACTGTAGGTCTCAGGAGATGTCTCATAATGTCCGATTGGGAACATTTTTGGCATAGCCCTGGCAATACGTATTTAGATACAGTTATTAAACAATCTGGTTGGAGTTGAATTAAGTTATATCTTTATTCAATCATATGAAAAGTCAGAAGGAATGGGTGCGTAGTGAGAAAGAAATGCGAACATTAGTGACTTGCAGTGTTTAAGATAATTAATTGTCATTAAACTATATATCACGTGATTAACCACGGGTCCGGGTAGTCCCGTGGGTACCCGGGTCGTACTCAGTACCCACCCGAGGTACCCGAGGTACCCGAGTTACCCTTCACAGCCCTAAACGTTAGTACCTTAAATTGCCTTCCAGACTATAACTGACTATATTGGTCGACCTATGATCAAGCCCAGAATTTCCAGCCTAGTTTGGCAAGGGTAGAAACTGGGCTTATATAGTCAGTTAACTCCCTTGCCTCGGGAAGATGTTTTGAGAGTAATCTCCTTCCATACCTTTATAAAAAATTCTCTGAGTGATGGTGAGAGTTTTTCACAGTGGCATTGTTTGGAGTTATGGGTGATGGAACAATGTTAAGTCATTGACTTCTGTAGCAGTGGTTTGCCTTCTAGCCTGATCCACAGGGCCATTCATGAAAAGAAGGTTATGGAGCTTTTGCCACCTATCAGGTGAAAGTAAACATGTGATACAACCAGTTTGTACTCACAGCTGATCAGTTGCCGGGGAAATATTCAACATTACATGTAGTATGTATTAGTTATTTTGGGAAAATCATGCTAGCTTCTTTTGTTTTTATACTTTTAGCCCTATGTTTAGTACAAATAAACCTGAGTCACGCATCATTCTGTTTAGTTGCTTGTTTCCTATTTTGTAGGTATTTTTCTGGATATAGTTATGTAATTTTCAATGTACCCAGGATTATAGGTTTATTAGAGTTTGTGTTAAAATGTTTTCCTTATTTCTGTGACAAGCAGTTAGATTTCTCCAGTGATGAGGAGAATGAATGTGGCCTCAGCTCCAGCTCCAGCAAGTCCTGGAGTAGAGCATCTCAACCCCATCATAGCAGCAGTCATACCAATGATGAGGATGATTTCCAGCTGAGTGAGTTAAGATGTAGCTCTTCTCTTCTCTTAGATTATATAATAAAGACAGATTGATTTGTCTCCTAGCTGTACTTTTCTTTGTAATCATTATTCACACTTTCTGTTGGGATTTCTTGCAAGAAGCAGTCAACAGTATCCCATGCTGTGACATGAGAAGTGGTGGACTTGGCAGAATGCATCTTATAATGAGGTCATGCTTTCAGTCACTGGCCTGCCTGATGCAGACTCAATTATTTCCAGGCAGATGGATAGAACTGAAGTAATTCTTGCGAATCCTCTACCTCTATTACATCTTTGCTATAAATCCTGTATTTTTGCTTCGGTCAAACTAACTAAATTTTCACATTTTCAACAGATGTCCTCTTCACTGTCAATTACACACAATTAGTTGTTCCGGAATAGCACTATAGCAACCCAAGCTATGGCGTGCTTAAGGTGGGAAACTTCATTTCTCTCCTTTGAGTGCTAGAGTCAACACCTATTGTTATAGTTGTAACGATCAAGCACTTAGTTGTAGTCAACACCTATTGTTATAGTTGTAACAATCAAGCACTTAGTTGTAGTCACATTTAATCTATGTTTGTTCTATAGTTTTCAATAAACAGATATATTAAGTCATATTAAGAGCTGCTATTTGTTGTGATGATCATACTCATGTAAGTATTGCTGGTGTGAGGTGTTTGTCAGGTCGTCATGGAGTCTCACCCTCCTCCTGCTTGTAAGAAGTGTAGCCATTTTATGATCACGGGAGATCTGCACAGCAACTGCTCGAAGTGCAGAGAGGCCAAATGCACTGAAGAGGCTTAGAAGAAGCAGATAGTAATGGCTAAGAAGAGTCCTCCGGCCAAAAGGTCATATCTGTTCCGACAACAGCTCTTCTTCAGTACTCTACTCTGTCTAAGATGGTCTTCAACAAATTAGCAGGAGCCTTGACTACTCCATCAAATGAATCTACTTCTGCGTTCTCTATGAACATGTTGGAACAGCTCTTCAACCAGCAGAAGAAGATGATGGAGTCCCGCTTCTCGGCTATATCTCAGGAGATGGAGATGCTTAGCGAAAAAGCAGACAGTATTGACTAAGAAGAGTCCTCTGGCCAAGAGGCCGCTTGGGGAACAGCCATCTGTTCAGACCACAGCCAGCTGTAAGGCCTACCCCAGATGACCATACGGACCACCTCCCAAAGTTAACCCTCCCGTGAGACACCGGCATCTAGATCTCCGCTTGGGTCCCATCAGGGTACCACAAGGCCATCTTCCTCATCTAAGACACCGTACGATCATCGCATGGACCCCACGGTAGCCAGCAGACCGTTATGGAAGCGTAACTTCAACTGCATCGTCACCATCAACTGATGGAACCCAAGCTGAACGCTTACATTATGGGACAGCCCAGCGGTTTCACAATTCACCCCAGCAGGATTATACAGAGGGATACAGCTTTGTGGAACTCATTGAGGTACTCCAAACTCCAATGACAGACAATTCACCACATAAAATGCCGGAATACGGAGGATGTCATGCTCCTACATCATCTCAACATATCCACCAGACATTGCCGTGGCCAAGTTATACAGGCAAGGTGGTACATCAGGCTTCTGAAAATCTATTCAAGCTCAAACATGATGACCGGCTACCCTTACCTCCATTGAAGTGGAAGTTGTATCAAACCCATGATTCTCCACTTCCGGACCATCAAGTTTTGGTCGAGGACTTTATGAAGCTAGTACGCAACCCTGATACGTTACCTGCTTCCCGAATTAAAGACCTGTCAATGGCATCCAGACATTAATGGACATTGGTGCATATATCAACTGGTTTGTAGCTGGAATCAGGCACATCTTTCCACCATTGCAGACATCATTTGACGGCATATCCGGAGAGATTTCTATGACTATAAGGACGGATCAGGTCGGACTCATCCACAAGTTGCTAGACACCATAGTCAGAATGCAGGAAGACTTACTCTCCACCCAAGTCTGGATATCTTCACAGCTAATCTGGGTACAGCGTCAACAACTACTAGCACAGATTCTTCAAGAGCTGTTTCCAACCAAACGAAAAGGTTGATAATGTCACAACCGATCTGCTCCCAAGATGTTCAACGGCAAATTGGAACATGTCATAGACGAGATCAGACAAGACACAACTGAACAATTCCAGGTATCGACTATTAACCAAGCTGTCAAGGCACATGGATCTTCCGATCCCCCGAAGTGTACCTCGGATCAGAAAGACTCATCATATAAACAGCCACCTGAGAAGAAGTTAGGATTTGTTCCAACTGAGTCGGGAGTACGACAAACATCAGTCTTCTCAGGATTCTTTTTGTCAGCCTGACTACAAGAAATGAGGATCCTATCACCGGGGCAAGTCTGGGGGCAGAGGTGTACTCAGGTTCTGACTTCTTTGCAGCCCATTCAGCCATTATAGACCCTTTCAGCCTGGTTATGACTATGGATTACATTTTACACCTACCGTCTTTCGACATAATGCTAACTCTGGGGCCAGTGGGAGGGCGTCTTCTGTCATATGCTAAAAATTGGAAGCAGATTACGCCCGACCGCTGGGTCCTAGACATAGTGGCTCATGTATACTAACTGCATTTCAAGAGGCATCCCATCCTGGCATCTCAGGCCGTGGGCCGCAGATTTTGTCACCAGGATTACAGTGCCAGTCATCAGGTTTACCCACCTCCAGATAGTACGTGGACGATTTTTTGGCAGCAGACCAAGAAGAAGCTCAGTTACACCAGAACATATTATTTCTGGTTCAGCTTATGACCTACCTAGGCTTCCAAGTCAATCCCTCCAAGTCCGAGACCACTCCGGTTCAAGACATCGTATACATCGGAGTGCGTTTCCAATTTCACAAGGGATATCTATGCCCTCTAGGGGATCAATTCATCAAGACTATTATGATGATTCAATCCCTATCAATTCAACCCAGCAGGTCTCTAAGGTAGTGGCTGTCTCTTCTTGGCAACCTGAGGTCTCTACAGGATATGACCTTCAGGAAGGTTGATGTTACCTCCTCTGCAGAGATGGCTCAACTTACTACGATCCCACATCCTAGAGTTCAAGACTCAGTTACCTCCCAACTTATTACGGGACCTGCATTGGTGGACTCACAGAGAGCATGGGATGAGGGGCATTCCTCTGACTTCTCCAACGCCCGGGGGTGGGGAGCCCATATTGATGATCTCACGGTACATGGATCTTGGAACATGGGAGAGAGGATCCTACATATCAACTGCAGAGAAATGAAGGCCATTTGCTACGCCATCCTGGCATGGAAAATATTTCTCTGCCAATCGTCCATCCTCATAGCCACGGACAATACAATAGTAGTGCCATACATTAAATAAGGAGGAACCAGATCCAGTTCTCTGATGATTGAGACTGCACGATTGTTTGCCATGGCAGACTCCATCAGTTGCCGGATGGAAGCGAGACATATTCCCGGGAAGCTGAACAACCTTGCCGACAGCCTTTCCTGCCAGGGGAGAATAGTGGCAACAGAATGGACCTTTCATCCCCAGATCTTTGCTTGGATAACCACGTTATGGGACACGCCGAATCTACATCTCTTATACCTGCCTAAACCATCAACTTCCAGTTTATGTCAGTCCAGTTTCCGATCTAATGGCTCACCAGATCGATGCAATATCGATGGATTGGATGGGCCTGTTTGCATACCCATTCCCACCATGGTCTCTCCTAGACAAGGTCATCCACAAGGTGGAGGAGACTGATTGCATAATAATACTGATAGGTCCAATATGGTCCAGCAGAGCGTGGTTTCCCAGATTATTAAGTCTATTAATGGAAGAGCCTCTCCAGTTAACTCTCCATCGAGATCTGTTACGACAGCCCAGGTCAAACATTTTCTACGACAATCTGCCCAGCCTACATCTTACCGCCTGGAAGTTATCACACAAAAGATGCATACATCCATGTACTCTGGACTTGCCTCTGATGCTGTGGCAAGATCATGAAACCTTCATCCTCTCTTATATATGACAATAGATGGGATAAGTTCGTCCAGTGGAAAAGATGACAAGGGATTATAACTAATACAATCTCCATCCCTATGGTAGCAGACTTTCTACTACATCTACGTCAGAACAATAAGTTGTGACATGGGACGATCTTGGATCCTGCTTGGCGCATGAAATCAGAGCCCTAGCCATGAGTGTCGCTTCATGGACATCCGTTTCGGTGGAACAAGTGGTGTCCAGCTGTGAGTGGGCCTTACAAATCACCTTCACCAGCTTTTACTTGTTTGATGTGCAGCCGGGCCTAGAGGGCATATATTCCCTTGGGCCCATTGTCGCGGCGCAAACTATCATCCACCAATAATTTCCTATGGGGGGGGGGGGGGGGGGGGGGGCTTGGCCTTAGGGAGGGGGATCCGACACCGGCAGCATCAAATGGTGAATACACCCTTGATTATCCTGTGTATTAGGTGCAGGATGGATTAGGAGCACCTTGAATATCAACTTCAAGAACATGTCATCACCGGAGGAGATAGAAACCAGAAGTGACGTCATCACCGGAAATAGCATCTTATCAGGAAATGACGTCTTTTGTTAGAAATAGACCATAAAGAGACGTCACTATTCAATAAAAGTGAACGACAAAACCGGAAGTGACCTCAGCACCGGAAATAGTGTCACAAATCCATTTTTAACAGGAAATGACGTCATTTGGTGGAAATAGACCAGAAATGACGTCATTATTACTAACAAGATCAGCAAATATAACAGTAATTCTAGTGAAGATATCAAGTATTTGACTGATTCTTGATGCATTCTGATTTTCAAGTCCTCAAGAGAAATTTCACAAGGAATGGGTCAGGATTAGAATCAGCGATCAAATGGTTTCCAGAAGAGGATTACTGTCAATTACACAGGGAGTTACTAGAGGCAGATCCCACTGGGTCCCTCTGGTGTATTCTGGCAAAGATGTAACAGAGGTAGAGGATTAGCAAGAATTATCAAACAATAGTTATCATTGTTAACAATTCTAAGAATACAAGCTCTGTTACATCAGGAGTACTCCCCCCCCCCCCCCCCCCCCCACCTCCCCAAATGAGGTTTTCTCACCTTAGGCACATCATAGCTTGGGTTGCTATAGTGCTATTGGGGAACAACAAATTGTGTGTAATTGACACTGGAGAGGATGTCTGTTGGAAATCTGAAAATTTAGTTCATGTGAAGCCAAAATACAGGATTTATGGCAAAGAATTAGAGGTAGTATTCTTAGAATTATTAACAATGATAACTATTGTTATATATTGCTGACCCTGACTTTAAACAACATTCATTCACCCACTCACCATAACTCACCCTGGTTCCGTTATGTACTCCACTCTTCTGGTAAACATCTTCCTGAACTAACTGACTATAAAAGTCGAGTTTTCACCCATGCCGAACAAGGCTGAAATTATGAAGTTATATTTTGGCTGGACTAATGAATCTAGTCCAATCAAATTCTTGTAACAAAATCGACATCCGGTTTGTAAACTGCCATGCAGATTTCGGTCGATTGCAGGATTTGCAAAGCATGTGTACTGCCAAGTCGGCGTTGACAGATATTTTCCAAATCTCTTCATGTTTTGAATCAAGGTGCTCACATGATTTGATGCACTTGGCAAAGTAAGTCCCATTATATTACAATATAGATTTTGATTATCAATCAGATCATCTTTCTGGGTGCTGCCATTTGGTTTGAAGCAAATGCAAGTGATATGAGAGGAGGGACATTGAAGGGACATAACTTATAATAGCCACTGGTGACGCTACTTTATATTGACTGCGGCATAACACAACATTCAACTCACTTGTTCAAAATATATTGTCAGATAATTCACTTTTTGTACTAAGGCCAAGATACTGGTGACAACAAAGTGGTGAATGCATCAAAGAAGAAAAGGAAAGAACGAAAAACAATAAAGGTAAGTTATGTTTTATATTTTAACATATCAATCATTGTTAGGTTACTATAAATTCATTATTAGTCGTGCAGCCCATTTTATTCCGCCTTTCTTTCTAAAACTGTAGGTATTCTCCCAAAACATTAACTATCAGAGGTTATGATCCGATGAAGCATTTGTTTGGGAGGAAGCGTGTGTGTAGTGTAAGTCCACAAAGAATGGCTAGGATGTTCATCTGCAGGTGCTGGGGAACTGTATGATGATGTGAGGTGGGCTGGTGCAAGTGAGACAGGCAGGCCTGAAAATATAATAATGATTGTATCATGGCCATGTGCATACATATGCTGGGATACAAGGTCTACATTATCTCAATACAAATGTCCTGTGTAAAGATATTCTCTTGTCAAGTGTAAACCATGGTGAAGATTGTGAACACACCTCTGTAATGGATAGTTCATCATGAAAGATTGGTGTATGGATGATAAAACAAACAAATATTGATGGGTTTTGAGAAGATTGGATAATCAGAATGCTCCTTGTAAAGAGAATAACCAGCAAAATTATGGATGGATGGACTTAATTTGAATATGATTTGGAGACGATTCATAGAAGTAGGTCAAGGACTAAGGTTTCATGATAGTGAATAAATTTGACTTGGTACCCTTGGTAATGTAGTAACAACCGTAAGTTCAAGGAACGTTTCTGAAGTTAGATGCACACAAGGGATCACAACAAAAATAAGAGGATTGCTGGTTCTTTACATATGGGGCCAAACCAAGATGAAATCTGCCATAGACAGTAGTGCCCATACTGGATCTGAATGTAGTAATCTGTCCTTATGTATGCATTGTAGACAAGACAGGGCCATTGCTTTCTGGATGAGGAGGCCATACTGTCTGGCAGTGATGCATCATCCGATGAGGACTGGGACAGCAATGATGAATGTCTGGAGGCCAGTTTTGTTAATGACGACACTCAGATGTCTCAAGATGATGTTGGTGAGTGGCAGAGGAATCAGTTCCCAGTAGAATAAGGGACACCTTCAATTTCTGCAGATATAAATCAAAGCTATAAATCTTATATTTTGGCTCTCATCACGCTATAAAATTTTCAGATTTTCAACAGAAGTCCTCTTCACTGTCAACTATCCAAAGACTGCCTCCGTGGTCTAGTGGTAGAGCGTCTGCCTGGAAAGCAGAAGGTTGGGGGTTTGATCCCTGGCCGCATCATACCAAAAGACATTAAAAGATGGTACCTTGCCTGACACTCTACATTAAAGGGGCTAAAACAAGGACCGGTCGGCTTTGAGTCAGTATACTGTGTCTGTATCGAACGCGATGTTAAACCATATCTGACCTCACCTGAACTATCCATAACCAGTTGTGATACTAACTGTATATCCTTTCCATTATAAATTGTGCAAGTAATATTATCTTGCATCCCAGGCCTCTTGCACAACCTCACTACTTTCCTGTGTGTGCTTAGCAGCAACTTTATTTTTGAATGATTTTTCTAAGCACATTATTGGTAGTTTGTCACACTGTAGTTATCTGTATCTTCAGTTAACTTTTACTAGTCACTAGTAGTGTCTTATTTATGGCTGAGTAGTTCTGGGATCTGAGCACATAAGTAATTAGGATGTGGTGTAGTGTGGAAAATTCAAGATCACTGGGGATTGAGATACCTCCTGCAAGAAGTGGAGAGATTTGCTGTGGCCCGTGGAAGCTAAGGTGTGCCCTCCTCTCTGTTGTTTGTCAAGCTGGCAGATGCATGGTAGAAGGCCAGGAAGAAGCCGGCAGCAAAGAAACACATAGAGACCTTCACGTCTATTTCTACCATGACTGCAGATTTTTGTGCCTGCACTACTCCAGAGTCTCACAATCATCCCCATGCTGACCCACTCTGACACTCAGGCTTGACATGCAGGCTTTGATGAAGAGATGTGTGACAGTCATTTCAGAAGAAATGCCATCTATCAGTCAGCAACACAAGCAGACCCAGGAGCATCCCTGGCCAAGAGGGGAACAGATGAATTTGAGTTTCAGGTTTTAAGTTGACACTGAAGTTCATACCTCCATGGACGCCAGACGAGCAAAGTTTTGTACTATGCAAATGCAGAAATATCTCATATCCTTAGTTTATAAAAGAATCTTAAATACAACAACCAATATGGAATTCCATGTAATCTCCATCTTTTATGTCTTACATGTACCGTATATCGCCGTCTACAATACGACCTCACGTATAAGATGACCCCCCTGTACAAGCCTTTAAAATCAATGCTAATTTATATAATGAAGCACATCACCAGCGCATACACAATCCCTACATTTGCAATAAAAACATGTTTGTCTTCCACAGAAAAAAAATTATATCGTTTCCCTTCAGCGAATTCAGGGAAATGAACAGATCATAACAATTAATTACATTAAGTAATACGTTACAACTGTTATACCGAGGCTGTTGTCTCCCACAACTGCTGCTATAGCGAAATCTACCACAGAGATCTCAATTACCTCATGCAGCACGTGCGTAGCCACCTAGCTGCCATGTGACACCCTTCACTCTTGTCTCCTTCGCTTGCGTTAGCAAGACGTGTTTCCAAGACTGCTGAAGCGTTCCTCGAATATTCGGTGATATTTATTGTAGTTTATTCTCTAATAAACTGTGCTTTTATGGGGCGTTGCGGTAGCTCCGCTTGGATATAATTTTCCCGCCAAACGGAGAATTTTTCCCGCCCTTTTTTCTCTATACTTGCGGGGTTCGCGTATGCACGTTGTGTTTTACGTTTCCCCTGTTCTTGTATGTTTTGGGGGTTAACATCACTTATTTCTCTATATGTTATATGTGTATGTTTTATGTTCACATTGCTCGTTTATTTTCTTGGGAAAATACTCGTTTGTGAATCATTGTGGTGCGTGCGTTGTAACCATGTTTTGCTCTTTGTCCATAGAATAAAAAATGTCTGACATGGTAATGTCCCCGGTTCCAACCCCCTCTACCCCTGCTCCTCGGAGTTGCGGGGTGTGCCGCAAATTCTTATCGACCCGGGATCCCCACGATCGTTGCCCGCGGTGCAGGGTTCCTTGCGGGGACACCGGGTGCACCCAGTGCCATGGTCTGGGGCCTGCGGCGTTTGAGCGCTACCGACTGTACGTCCAGGCCGGCTCGTCCGGTCGGGGTCCCCTTGCGGGTACCACCTCCTCGGCTGCGGCGGATCCCTTGGCGGCCCTCGGGCTGTCCAGGGATTCTGTCGCCGCATTGCTTTCTAAACTTGTGGACTCCAAGCTGGCGGCCTTATCTCAGGATAGGCCGCTGGCTGTTCCGTCCCCGGCCTCTTCGGTGGCCGCGGGTTCGGACGCGGGGTCCACCGGTACGGCGGTGGCTGCCGTGGTCACCGGTCCTTCCCCCGAACCGTTGCTCCCGCTATCGGTTAAGGACCGCGTGGCCATGGTTTATGACCTCTTCGAGGACATGCCCAAGCCCCTGCCGATACCACGGGGAATCCACGGCTCCGTGGGTTCCTCCGAGGTTTAGGACGAGTCGTCCGACAAGGCTTTCCCGGCATCAACCTTGCTGCGTGGGATTAAGCCTTCCCTGGAGAAAGCCTTCGCGCCTGCCTCCGGTCGGGGTCTCCCGTTACCTCCACCGTCGTGGAGAAAAGGGTCCTTCCCGGTGCATGACCTTGCCTTTCCTGAGGCTGGTCCTACCGCGGAAGCCCATGTTGAGCGTTTGGGTGTCCGTGCCCCTCCGGCTGCCACGGTACCACAAGGTACCTTGCAGCAGCTGGACACCCTCGCTCGACACTCCATGCTTGCAATGTCTCACGGAGACACATACCTTGCTGCAGCGGCCAGTCTGGTCGAAGGTTCTCCCACGGACCGATGGTCGAACTGTTCGCAACACGGTTCAACAATCAAAACTCCCGTTGTTTGTATCACCAGTCCCGGACCCGAGGGCCATCGATCACGATGCTCTCGCGTTAGACTGGACGGGCTTGGAGGCTTATGCTTACCCGCCGACAGCGTTGATACCACACATTCTAAGCCGGCTCCGAGGAGTTCGCTGTCGAATGTTACTGATCGCGCCCATGTGGCCGAACAGATCATGGTACCCCGACTTGCTGACCCAGGTCACACAGTCGCCACTTCCACTGCCTGTGTTGAGCGTTTGGGTGTCTGTGCCCCACCGGCTGCCACGGTACCACAAGGTACCTTGCAGCAGCTGGACACCCTCGCTCGGCACTCCATGCTTGCAATGTCTCACGGAGACACATACCTTGCTGCAGCGGCCAGTCTGGTCGAAGGTTCTCCCACGGACCGATGGTCGAACTGTTCGCAACACGGTTCAACAATCAACTCCCGTTGTTTGTATCACCAGTCCCAGACCCGAGGGCATCGATCACGATGCTCTCGCGTTAGACTGGACGGGCTTGGACGCTTATGCTTACCCGCCGACAGCGTTGATACCACACATTCTAAGCCGGCTCGGAGGAGTTCGCTGTCGAATGTTACTGATTGCGCCCATGTGGCCGAACAGATCGTGGTACCCCGACTTGCTGACCCAGGTCACGCAGTCGCCACTTCCACTGCCTGTGACACTGGATCTCTCGATCTACCCTCACACCCGTCAGCTTCATCCAAACGCAGGGCAGTTCAATCTGCACGCGTGGATGTTGTCACCGAGCGTCTGAGGAGTAAAGGTTTTTCTCGTCGGGCGTCTCAGGCATACGTTAGTATGCATCATGATTCTACCCAGAAGGTGTATAATGCACGTTGGGTTATTTTCACGAAGTGGTGTTGTAAACATCATATTGATTCGCCAGATAAGGTATCTGTGCAGGATATTGCTCATTTCATGTCTCACTTGCGAGAGACCCGGAAACTCTCCGGGGGTTCCAACTATGTCTCGTTCGTTGTTACGGTACGGGACATTATTATGGGTACCAGTCTCTCCAAAGAGCCGGTGATATGGGGTATTATCAAGGGTTTCAAACAGCACGATCTTAAGAAGGGCCGCCTTCGGGCACCGGCCTGGGATCTTTCCCTAGTGTTGCAATCACTTACGGAAGCTCCGTATGAACCCTTGCATAGTGCTTCGTTCCGGCATGTGACTTGGAAAACAGCATTTCTCCTCTCCTTTGCCACGGCGGCACGTGTATCCGAAATTCATGCACTCGATGTCGCCAAGGTACGATTCGATAGGGGTGACGAAGGAGCTGTCCGCCTGGGCCTGCTCATGGGCTTCGTCGCCAAGAATCAGAGAATCGGGCAAACGGAGAGAGAATTCACTGTTAGATCACTCAAAGAAATCTTACATCCTGCTGATACTGAGGACAGAGCGCTGTGTCCGGTTAGGGCCCTTAAGTATTATCTTAAGGCTTCGAATGAACGTAGACAAGGGCGTGACCGTCTGTTCATATCGTGTAACCCTAATCGCATGGTTGACATAACTCGCAACTCGATTGCGTTGTGGCTTCGTTCTGTCATCAATCCCGGCGTACTGGTTTCTCTTGTCACAACCCATCATGGTGCATAATGACAACCTTAACAAGATCCTTGAGAAAGTTTGGCAAGATACCACGGAAAAGTTTCAACAGTTAACTCCCACCATTGAGTATATCGGGCCAAGAGACCTCAAGAAATGGCCAGAGACCATGCCTTATGGGAATCTGCCAAGAGTAAGTTTTTCCCATTAGGAAGGAATCTTTCCAGGCAAACAGTTGGAAGGACAGACATACTCAGCAGTGAAGCAAGGGATGCCGCTAGAAATTTTGAGCAGAACTGTAGAGGAGGCCAGAGGCAGCTTGACCAAATGCAAGAGGTGATCACCATCTCTGTCCAGAAACCCTGTGTCTTGACTTAGCTTTGTTTATGGACTTTAGTCACATCTACCATTTTTCAACCTAACGCCAATTCTGGGACCGGGGGCTGGGGGGTTGTCTTGTGTCATAAGACTGCATATCACGACCAACCACTGGATTTTCAAAGTTGTAAGAGAGGGATACAAGTTGCAGTTCAATCAGCAACCAGATCTTGTATCCCAGCCAGTGGACTGACAATTTTATCTGGAAGAGACCATGTAAGAGGCTGCAGAGTTGCATACAGACATTAATAGACAAGAGAGCCATCCTGGAACTAAAGAACACACACCTCAGCAGGGGCTTCTGTTTCACGATCTTCTTAGTACAGAAGAAGAATATGACAGTCATGCATTTAATAATAGAACTAAAAGTTCTCAACAAGAAATTTCTAGTTTGTCCGCCCAAGTTCCAGATGGAATCTGTGAGAAAGCTGTGAACTGCAGCTGAGACTGGTTGATCAGTTCAGATCTCCAGCATGCTTATATTCCATAAATATTCATCATGGATCCCAAAGTATTTCCAATTAGCAGTAAATGGACATCGCTACGAATTTCGAGCTCTTCCATTTGAAATATCGATCACAGCTCTGATCATAAGGGTTGTGCATATCCACCAAGTTTGCCTCCACACCTTAACATAGAAGATTTCCTATCAGCTGATAAGAACAGGAATCAGCTCCAGCAGAATACAAGTTTCCTGATCGACCACGTGTGATTATGACACCCATGAAGATCCGGGTTAGAATAGGTCACCAGCAACCCATATTTGTGATAAGAGGAGATTATGCTTGTCTTAAGAGGCGTCTTTAACATGATCGGATGGTCAGGCTTGCCGACTTGAGTTGATGCATGTCATCGTTTCATAGGTGCATGGATCAATGCTCATGATATCAACCACTAGACACCCTAGTTCAGTTCCCACCAAAGTTGATGATTGAATTGACAAGAGAACATAATAAGGGTAATTCCTCTAGTCTCTCAAGAACCCAAACATCACCTGTTTAAGGACACCTTGAGTTCCAGATGGGGAGCACACATGAACAGCCTGACAGTTCAGGGAATGTTCCTATCAATGAGAGCAATCAAATACGCCCTATCTTCAGTTCTGCTATGGACAACACCACAGCAGTAGCATATATCCAGAGACAAGGGGGAACCAAATCAGTGAGTTCATTGAGCAAGCGAGATAATGCCTTTGCAAATTCGATCAAATGCAGGATGAATATGTGTCACATTCTCAGCATATTCAAGGGGATAACATCAATTTGGAATACTCATCAGCTGGATATATTTGCCACTTACCTCATCAAAAAGCTCCTAGCATACGTCAATCCAGTTCCGGATCCACAAGCTCTACAAGTAGATGCATTATCCATGAACTGGACGGGGATTTTGGCCTATGCTTTCTCTCCATGGTCTCTTCAAGGTGGATGAAACTCAGAGCTCCCATTGGGTCAAGTCTGCCGTGGTTTCGCAGACTGTCTCATTGAAGAACCACTCAAAGGACTGGAGCATCGATACTATCTCTGTCGGTCCAGATCAGACATAAAGTGGGGCAGTCTCCACAGCATTCATCTTCATGAATGGAAACTATCACGAGTAAGATACAGGCTTCTGGATTCTCCAATTCTGCATCTGCAGCAGTGGCATGATCTTAGAGACCTTCTTCATTCGCCATCTACCACAATAGATGGGACAAGCTCTCACAGTGGAGAAGAAGGCAAGGATTGGGGAATGATGATGTAACCATACTCATGGTGGTGGACTCTCCGGAAGGATAATAAGTTTTTTCATGGCTCTATAGAGGGATATAGCTAGCTAGGGCCACATCAGATAGGTTGTCAGCAATTCATGAGCTTGACTTCCCTTCTCATGCAGAGAACTCTATCAGATAGCTCCCTGACTTTGTAGCCAAAAACCATTTGGCGGCTCTAGGACCACTGGGACACAGACAAACCTGCACTAAGTAAAACTGTGGATCAGCCTGATCATCTTCTATGCCCAATATAAGCTCTCAGGTTTTATCTGACAGCAATAGGTATCTACCTCAACATTGAGATCTTTAAGAGCGCATAAGATCAGAGACCTATCGACCAGCCTAGTGTTTTAGACCTCGGTCTCTTTAAGACAGGAGACACAAGAAACAGCTCTTCATGTTGTGTAAGACTGCCTCTGACATGTGACAAAGGCCTAACCATGGCCACTGTCACAGGAGGGTTAAAGAAAGTTACCTCCATGAAGAAGTATCTACCTCAGTATTGGGATCTTTCACAGCACATGAGATCAGACACTTATCGACCAGCCAAGTGTCTTAGAACTTGGTCTCCTTGAGCGAAAGCCGGGGGTAGGGGGAGATTTTCCGGCAGCTTGAGCTTTGGAAGATGAGTTAATCTTTTCTATCATTATTGTCTACTGAGAGTAGGGCAAGATCATAGGGACTGGAATCACACTTTAAGATCATGGGAATGATGACAGGTCCACCGGAAGTGGCGTCCTCAGAACCGGAAGTTACATCCCCAGAATCAGAAATGACTTCATCAGAAACACAAGTAATGTCACTGACGTCAAGTCTGAAAGACAGTCTGTTTGGTCATCTGATGACATCACAAGTGGGAATAGAATGCAAATGTAATGGTAGTTCAGTGGAAATCTATCTTGTATTTGCTTATATCCTGACATTTTCTGAATTAGTCCTTTGATTCGGTTATCATGTTTATCTAATCTTTGGCCTATCACCTTTTGGAAAGTTTTTAGATTTGTTAGGTACCCATGGAAAACTGTTAACTATCCAAAACTTGCTGGATATCAGAACCTACCTGTTCCTCTGGTATGTTCTGGCAATGATGTAAGAGAGGATATTCACAGGAATTATCAAACAATAGTTATCTGTCAATATCCTAAGAATACTACCACCATTACAACAGGAGTAATCCTTACCACCCCCTGAATTATCTGCATCTAGGGTGCTGATTGTTGGAAGGAAGTGAGATTTCCCTGACTTGCTGATGTGCCAATCTTGGGCAGCAAGATACTATTACTTGCAAAACTGATTATACATAGTTGACAGTGCAGAGGAATTCTGTTAAAAAATCTGAAGATTTTAGAGTGTGATGACAGCAAAAATACAGGATTTATGTAACAGAGCCAATATTCTTCGAATTATTAACAATGATAACTACTGTTTGATTATTCTCTTAAGGTATAAAACTAAGAATTATTATTAGAAGTTGGTGACAATTACTATTTTTCCTATATTCACTTCAATGATGTATTAAATGAATTCAGCATGTTCAGTGCTCTGTACACTGTAAATAGACAATGCCATTTAGAAAGTGGGGTACACAAAGCACTCCCCCCCCCCCCCCCCCAAAAAAGTACTAGAATTTGTACTTTATTAAGAAAGTGTAATCCCAAATATAACATATGTTACATTTGCATTGTCTAGTCATAGCTTCGGTCAATTTACACTTATCAGCAGGGTACACCGTATGTGATCAAGTCTACCAGTTGTCGGACTTCCATTTTGTGGAAGTCACAGTGGCTGAGTGGATTAGGTTGCTGACTTTATGTGCTGTTGATTAGGTGGTTCACACTGAGAGGATAGGTTCGAATCCCAGGTGGGACTTCACGCAAAAAGAACCTACAAGAATTTGTGAGAAAGTGTAGTCCCAAATGTAACGGATCAGTACATTGTGTTTGATGCAGATATACATGCTGTCTACCTGAAGTCTGTGCGGAGCCCCATTCAAAATGATGGGTTCCGCCTGCAAGCACGCCACTATGAGAAAGATGTTTTCTCCCAGGTCCCTGAGCAGGACAATGAGTACGAGGAAGACAGCTTCTGTGTGGGAGAGGACTTCCAGGAAACAGGTGAACCACCCAAAATCAAACTATCAAAAACTGCTTGTAGTTGACATACGGTTGGACCAAATGAAAGACAGATCAAATTCAGCCAAATCAGTAAAAAGTTGTAACAAAGCCAAAGTTTACATGATAATGACTCTTGGAAAGTTGTTTTGGCTGACTATAGGAAAGTAACTTCAATAGAACATTAATCCGTTCAAGATAACTTTATTCTGTTTGTAGATATTTCACAGAAAAATGTCAAATCCAGCCCAATCGTACAATACTGACAAGGTCAAAGAACACATGATAATAACTCAAATGGCTTGGAACCAGATGATTTCTTCAAGAAATATTGATTGCTTTAAGGCATGTTTTTCTTATAATCATTATCAAAGAGAAGAAAGATATGTTTTATCAGGCTTGTAAATTGGTCAGAGTTGGGTATTGTCAAGATTAACACACATACGCACAGTTATCTGGTTGTATTTTGTAATACTGGAACAGATGTTTGGTTGTTGTTTTCAGAGCGTTATGATGATGAACTTGATCTATTGGATGACTTTGAAGAATTTTATCACTATTCAAAACGGAAAAGTTCAAAACAGTCTAAACCAAAAAAATGTAAATATATTGTTGGAAAATCTAGAAAGAGGATACGTCAGATATCTGGGTCATCCAGTGAAGAGGAAACTAGAGTAGCCACTTCTGTGCTGGAGAACACACAGGCTGACGGCCATGGCTCTCACTTGCTTTGCAGTCAGAGAAATAAACCTATCCGCAAAAAGGTTGCAGCCATTTTGTCCAGCAGTGAGGAGGAAATAAGTCCAAAATGTGTGGCGAAGTCATTACATCATGCATCTCACACAACCAGCCTTGGACAGGCAGGTAGGAGCATCTCTCCACAACAGAAGACTATGTCAGTGGTTGATACTGACATGCTACGACAGGAACGCCTTGCCAAGCAAAAACAGAAACAAGAGGAATTCCGTCAGAAAATGTCCAAGAAGAATGGCAGATATGAGTATAGGCTAGTGCCCAGAACAGATGCTCCTATCTCTGGCTCGGCAGTTGACACGTCAAGGCGGTTGTTAGACATAAGTCGTGCAGACTATGACTTTGCTTCTGACAAACTGAGTTCTGTTATTCCAAAGCCACTGGTATGTGTCTAAGGCCTACCTTTAGAGTACAGTACCACAAAGTTTTCAAACAACATCACAATGCCCTGTGATGTAATTTGTAGTTTTTGTTTCCAGTCACAATGCCAAAACAATGCCCAGTAACGTCCAGGATTATAAAGTATGCATAAGCTTCAGTGATCTGTCATCTTTGCACGCAGTGTCATTGAATAATAACAGTGATGTGGAGGGTTTTGAATATTTGTTTACTAAATATTGCCTGTGGTGGCACATTTTATAGCAAGCGCTAGTTAATGAAAACACTTTTATTTTCAATGTATTTTTAGTTTCATTTTTTTCTTAATTCAAGTGGTTAAAATGATTATAATTATGGTCGAATATTTTGGCCACTGAAAACTGTCCTGAAACATTCACACAAGCCACTTTCACCCGCTACATTTATTCAGTATTGATTCAAAAGCAGACTCACCCATGTGGCATCACTAGCCATGGTAATGCCTCCCTCGTTCCTTACTATGATCCACATTATACTTACAATGTTCCCAACCACACTTTTCTGTAACAAAAAACACTTGGCAAATTACTAAATACCATGTCATTCATGCATACCCGCGAGTTCGACCTCTCACGCCTGATGCCTGAAACGGTTTTTAGTTCGCACCATATTGGCTCATTCCTCACGAAATGGCATCGGGATCACTTGTGAGTGTCTGTAGACTAAAGTCAGGAGACACCATGCCTTCCCGTAACCTTTGTAAGTAGCCACAAGTTCGCAAGTTTCCATTCAGTTCTGTAAGGTCTTAGGCATGGCTAGGTAAATTTGCACTAAGTTTAAAAGTGTGGACGTAGCTCATTCGGTTAGCTGTCGGGCTAACAATCCAAAGGTTGCAAGTTCGCGTCTGACTGATTCTAACAAAAACTGGGTGCTTGTCTTTGAGACACATGACCTATGGCAGAAAACGTCTTCACGAGAAGTTGTGGTACTGTATTCTAAAGGGGCTCTGAAACTTAACATCTATCTTGAATTTGACCGCTTACGTGTAACCCAGCTAACTTCAAGTCACAGTATATTTTCTGTCAGTCCTGTCAACAAGCAGTAACACAACATAGCCTTTTGTAAGGGATGTCATTTGCTTATCTGGTTATGGCCATTTAGCAATAGGTCTTGGTAATAGTGAGATTGACCTGTCCAACGTTCTAACTTTTTTTAATCACCTAATGATCCATGTTGTTTTTCTCTTTTTTCCAGCCAAATGATTGTGGTTTAAATGAGAAGATAGTGATACTAGTTGACTCAAGAGAAATCAGTGGGGCACAGGTAAGTTGTCATGATAAGGGAAAGATAGTGATACAAGAGATTTGTTTGTTTGTTTGTTTGTTTGTTTAACCATGCACTCAGCAATATTCCAGCTATATGATAGGGGTCTGTAAGTAATCAAGTCTGGACCAGACAATCCAGCGGTTGACATCACAAGCATCGATCTATGCAATTGGGATATAATGACATGCATCAACCAAGTCACTGAGTCACGTTAGTCACCTCTTACAACAAGCATAGTCACTCTTACAACAAGCATCGGTTGCTGAAGACCTATTCTTACCCGGATTTTCACAGGTCTGATACAGGAGAAATCTTTGGGGGCATGGGTAAGCTGTCTTGATAAGGGGAAGTTGGTGTTACAAGAGAAATCTTTGGGGACAGGTAGGCTGTCTTGATAAGGGGAAGATGGTGTTACGAGAGAAATCTTTGGGGCACAGGTAAGCTGTCTTGATAAGGGGAAGTTGGTGTTACAAGAGAAATATTTGGGGCACAGGTAAGCTGTCTTGATAAAGGGAAAGTGGTGTTACAAGAGACATCTTTGGGGACAGGTAGGCTGTCTTGATAAGGGGAAGATGGTGTTACAAGAGAAATCTTTGGGGCACAGGTAAGCTGTCTAGATAAGGGGAAGATAGTGTTACAAGAGAAATATTTGGGGCACAGGTAAGCTGTCTTGGTAAGGGGAAGATGGTGTTACAAGAGAAATATTTGGGGCACAGGTAAGCTGTCTTGATAAAGGGAAAGTGGTGTTACAAGAGATATCTTTGGGGACAGGTAGGCTGTCTTGATAAGGGGAAGATGGTGTTACAAGAGAAATCTTTGGGGCACAGGTAAGCTGTCTAGATAAGGGGAAGATGGTGTTACAAGAAAAATCTTTAGGGCACAGGTAAGCTGTCTTGGTAAGGGGAAGATGGTGTTACAAGAGAAATCTTTGGGGCACAAGTAGGCTGTCTTGATAAGGGGAAGATGGTGTTACAAGACAAATCTTTGGGGCACAGGTAAGATGTTTTGATAAGGGGAAGATAGTGTTACAAGAGAAATCTTTGGGGCACAGGTAAGCTGTCTTGATAAGGGGAAGATGGTGTTACAAGAACCCAAACATCACCTGTTTAAGGACACCTTGAGTTCCAGATGGGGAGCACACATGAACAGCCTGACAGTTCAGGGAATGTTCCTATCAATGAGAGCAATCAAATACGCCCTATCTTCAGTTCTGCTATGGACAACACCACAGCAGTAGCATATATCCAGAGACAAGGGGGAACCAAATCAGTGAGTTTATTGAGCAAGCGAGATAATGCCTTTGCAAATTCGATCAAATGCAGGATGAATATGTGTCACATTCTCAGCATATTCAAGGGGATAACATCAATTTGGAATACTCATCAGCTGGATATATTTGCCACTTACCTCATCAAAAAGCTCCTAGCATACGTCAATCCAGTTCCGGATCCACAAGCTCTACAAGTAGATGCATTATCCATGAACTGGACGGGGATTTTGGCCTATGCTTTCTCTCCATGGTCTCTTCAAGGTGGAAGAAACTCAGAGCTCCCATTAGGTCAAGTCTGCCGTGGTTTCACAGACTGTCTCATTGAAGAACCACTCAAAGGACTGGAGCATCGATACTATCTCTGTCGGTCCAGATCAGACATAAAGTGGGGCAGTCTCCACAGCATTCATCTTCATGAATGGAAACTATCACGAGTAAGATACAGGCTTCTGGATTCTCCAATTCTGCATCTGCAGCAGTGGCATGATCTTAGAGACCTTCTTCATTCGCCATCTACCACAATAGATGGGACAAGCTCTCACAGTGGAGAAGAAGGCAAGGATTGGGGAATGATGATGTAACCATACTCATGGTGGTGGACTCTCCGGAAGGATAATAAGTTTTTTCATGGCTCTATAGAGGGATATAGCTAGCTAGGGCCACATCAGATAGGTTGTCAGCAATTCATGAGCTTGACTTCCCTTCTCATGCAGAGAACTCTATCAGATAGCTCCCTGACTTTGTAGCCAAAAACCATTTGGCGGCTCTAGGACCACTGGGACACAGACAAACCTGCACTAAGTAAAACTGTGGATCAGCCTGATCATCTTCTATGCCCAATATAAGCTCTCAGGTTTTATCTGACAGCAATAGGTATCTACCTCAACATTGAGATCTTTCACAGCGCATAAGATCAGAGACCTATCGACCAGCCTAGTGTTTTAGACCTCGGTCTCTTTAAGACAGGAGACACAAGAAACAGCTCTTCATGTTGTGTAAGACTGCCTCTGACATGTGACAAAGGCCTAACCATGGCCACTGTCACAGGAGGGTTGTATATGATAGGGGTCTGTAAGTAATCAAGTCTGGACCAGACAATCCAGCCGTTGACATCACAAGCATCGATCTATGCAATTGGGATATGATGACATGCATCAACCAAGTCACTGAGTCTGACCACCCGATCACGTTAGTCACCTCTTACAACAAGCATAGTCACTCTTACAACAAGCATCGGTTGCTGAAGACCTATTCTTACCCGGATTTTCACAGGTCTGATACAGGAGAAATCTTTGGGGGCATGGGTAAGCTGTCTTGATAAGGGGAAGTTGGTGTTACAAGAGAAATCTTTGGGGACAGGTAGGCTGTCTTGATAAGGGGAAGATGGTGTTACAAGAGAAATCTTTGGGGCACAGGTAAGCTGTCTTGATAAGGGGAAGTTGGTGTTACAAGAGAAATATTTGGGGCACAGGTAAGCTGTCTTGATAAAGGGAAAGTGGTGTTACAAGAGACATCTTTGGGGACAGGTAGGCTGTCTTGATAAGGGGAAGATGGTGTTACAAGAGAAATATTTGGGGCACAGATAAGCTGTCTTGATAAAGGGAAAGTGGTGTTACAAGAGAAATCTTTGAGGACAGGTAGGCTGTCTTGATAAGGGGAAGATGGTGTTACAAGAGAAATCTTTAGGGCACAGGTAGGCTGTCTTGATAAGGGGAAGTTGGTGTTACAAGAGAAATCTTTGGGACACAGGCAGGCTGTCTTGATAAAGGGAAGGTGGTGTTACAAGAGAAATCTTTGGGACACAGGTAATCTGTCTTGATATAGGGAAAGTGGTCTTAAAAAGGAAATCTTTGGGACACAGGCAGGCTGTCTTGATAAAGGGAAGGTGGTGTTACAAGAGAAATCTTTAGGGGCACAGGTAGGCTGTCTTGATAAGGGGAAGATGGTGTTACAAGAGAAATCTTTGAGGACAGGTAGGCTGTCTTGATAAGGGGAAGATAGTGTTACAAGAGAAATATTTGGGGCACAGGTAAGCTGTCTTGATAAGGGGAAGCTGGTGTTACAAGAGCAATATTTGGGGCACAGATAAGCTGTCTTGATAAAGGGAAAGTGGTGTTACAAGAGAAATCTTTGAGGACAGGTAGGCTGTCTTGATAAGGGGAAGATGGTGTTACAAGAGAAATCTTTAGGGCACAGGTTGGCTGTCTTGATAAGGGGAAGTTGGTGTTACAAGAGAAATCTTTGGGACACAGGCAGGCTGTCTTGATAAAGGGAAGGTGGTGTTACAAGAGAAATCTTTAGGGGCACAGGTAGGCTGTCTTGATAAGGGGAAGATGGTGTTACAAGAGAAATCTTTGAGGACAGGTAGGCTGTCTTGATAAGGGGAAGATGGTGTTACAAGCGAAATCTTTTGGAACACAGGTAAGCTGTCTTGATAAAGGGAAAGTGGTTTTAAAAAGGAACTCTTTGGGACACAGGCAGGCTGTCTTGATAAAGGGAAGGTGGTGTTACAAGAGAAATCTTTGGGGGCACAGGTAGGCTGTCTGGATAAGGGGAAGATGGTGTTAAAGGAGAAATCTTTGGGGACAGGTAGGCTGTCTTGATAAGGGGAAGATGGTGTTACAAGAGAATTTTTTGGGGACAGGCAGGCTGTCTTTATAAGGGGAAGTTGGTGTTACAAAGGAAATCTTTGGGGAGAGGCAGGCTGTCTTTATATGGAGAAGTTGGTGTTACAAGAGAAATCTTTGGGGCCCAGGTAGGCTGTCTTGATAAGGGGAAGATGGTGTTACAAGAGAAATCTTTGGGGCACAGGTAAGCTGTCTTTATAAAGGGAAGTTAGTGTTACAAGAGAAATCTTTGAGAACAGGCAGGCTGTCTTTATAAGGGGAAGTTGGTGTTACAAGAGAAATCTTTTGGGACAGGTAGGCTGTCTTGATAAGGGGAAGTTGGTGTTACAAGAGAAATCTTTGAGGACAGGTAGGCTGTCTTGATAAGGGGAAGTTGGTGTTACAAGAGAAATCTTTTTGAACACAGGTAGGCTGTCTTGATAAGGGGAAGATGGTGTTACAAGAGAAATCTTTGGGGACAGGTAGGCTGTCTTGATAAGGGGAAGTTGGTGTTACAAGAGAAATCTTTTGGAACACAGGTAGGCTGTCTTGATAAGGGGAAGATGGTGTTACAAGAGAAATCTTTGGCGACAGGTAGGCTGTCTTGATAAGGGGAAGATGGTGTTACAAGAGAAATCTTTGGGGACAAGTAGGCTGTCTTGATAAGGGGAATATGGTGTTACAAGAGATATCTTTGGGGACAGGTAATCTGTCTTGATAAGGGGACTGTTTATATGTGCCCTACTGGCTGTCCAGAGAGTGTGTGTGAACATGTATGTCATGTTGACTGTTTATATATTGCCTAATGACTGTCAACAAGCTAGTGTCGGTAGATTAGCTGGCAATATGATATTCATTTGCTTGAATTTCACAATTTGATTTAAAAAAGACATGTTCTGTACTGTGAAATGTTTCCATTTCAGGATATAGTGTCAAACTTGAGATTACAGCATGGTGCAACAGTGCTAGCCAGACAGCTGGGTGCCTGTGACTACATCATCAGCAACAGAACTGCTGTTGATCGCAGACAACTCTCAGGTGATACATATCATACATTTCAATAGTTCATTTATGTCTGGGTTAGTTGGTGTTGAAAGAAGTAATCAAAATAATACTGTTTCAACCTTAAGTGTAGTACCCCTCCATAACTATTTGAACAAAGAGAGCCAACCTGACACATTACCAGATTCAGATGTGACAGATGTGACCAGTGTTTTTGTGACAGATTTCAGCAATGGAGCCCACCGTGTAAAGTTGATAGATCGTATCCAGCAGATGAGGGAGCTGTATGACAGGTGCTGCCTTGTTGTGGAGAAGGACAGAGTGAAGCCAGGCGAAGAGAAATCAGCCAAGCCAAGGTAGAGCATTATGTTGCAGTGACAGTCGGATAATGAAGTTTGTGGGGGAGGATCGAGAGAGGCTGTATGTGACAGTCAGGTGATGAAGTTTGTGGGGAGGAGTGAGAGAGGCTGTATGGGACAGTGAGGTGATGAAGTTGATGAAGTTTGTGGGGGAGGAGCGAGAGAGGCTGTATGGGACAGTCAGGTGATGATGTTTGTAGGGGAGGAACAAGAGAGGCTGTATGTGACAGTCAGGTGATGAAGTTTGTTGGGGAGGAACAAGAGAGGCTGTATGTGACAGTCAGATGATGAAGTTTGTTGGGGAGGAACAAGAGAGGCTGTATGTGACAGTCAGGTGATGAAGTTTGTGGGGAGGAACAAGAGAGGCTGTATGGGACAGTCAGGTGATGAAGTTTGTTGGGGAGGAACAAGAGAGGCTGTATGTGACAGTCAGATGATGAAGTTTGTTGGGGAGGAACAAGAGAGGCTGTATGGGACAGTCAGGTGATGAAGTTTGTTGGGGAAGAACAAGAGAGGCTGTATGTGACAGTCAGATGATGAAGTTTGTTGGGGAGGAACAAGAGAAGCTGTATGTGACAGTCAGATGATGAAGTTTGTGGGGAAGAACAAGAGAAGCTGTATGTGACAGTCAGATGATGAAGTTTGTTGGGGAGGAACAAGAGAGGCTGTATGTGACTGTCAGATGATGAAGTTTGTGGGGAAGAACAAGAGAGGCTGTATGTGACAGTCAGATGATGAAGTTTGTGGGGAGGAACAAGAGAGGCTGTATGTGACAGGTGATGAAGTTTGTTGGAGAGGAACAAGAGAGGCTGTATGTGACTGTCAGATGATGAAGTTTGTGGGGAAGAACAAGAGAAGCTGTATGTGACAGTCAGATGATGAAGTTTGTGGGGAAGAACAAGAGAGGCTGTATGTGACTGTCAGATGATGAAGTTTGTGGGGAAGAACAAGAGAAGCTGTATGTGACAGGTGATGAAGTTTGTTGGAGAGGAACAAGAGAGGCTGTATGTGACTGTCAGATGATGAAGTTTGTGGGGAAGAACAAGAGAGGCTGTATGTGACATTCAGGTGATGAATATTGTGGGGGAGGAACAAGAGAGGCTGTATGTGACTGTCAGATGATGAAGTTTGTGGGGAAGAACAAGAGAGGCTGTATGTGACAGTCAGATGATGAAGTTTGTGAGGAGGAACAAGAGAGGCTGTATGTGACAGGTGATGAAGTTTGTTGGAGAGGAACAAGAGAGGCTGTATGTGACTGTCAGATGATGAAGTTTGTGGGGAAGAACAAGAGAAGCTGTATGTGACAGTCAGATGATGAAGTTTGTGGGGAAGAACAAGAGAGGCTGTATGGGACATTCAGGTGATGCAGATTGTCGGGAGGGACAAGAGAGGCTGTATGGGACATTCAGGTGATGAAGTTTGTTGGGGAGGAACAAGAGAGGCTGTATGTGACAGTCAGATGATGAAGTTTGTGGGGAGGAACAATAGAGGCTGTATGGGACATTCAGGTGATGAAGTTTGTTGGGGAGGAACAAGAGAGGCTGTATGTGACATTCAGGTGATGAAGTTTGTTGGGGAGGAACAAGAGAGGCTGTATGTGACAGTCAGATGATGAAGTTTGTGGGGAGGAACAATAGAGGCTGTATGGGACATTCAGGTGATGAAGTTTGTTGGGGAGGAACAAGAGAGGCTGTATGAGACATTCAGGTGATGAAGTTTGTTGGATAGGAACAAGAGAGGCTGTATGTGACATTCAGGTGATGAATATTGTGGGGGAGGAACAAGAGAGGCTGTATGGGACAGTCAGATGATGAAGTTTGTGGGGAGGAACAAGAGAGGCTGTATGTGACAGTCAGATGATGAAGTTTGTTGGGGAGGAACAAGAGAGGCTGTATGTGACATTCAGGTGATGAAGTTTGTTGGGGAGGAACAAGAGAGGCTGTATGTGACAGTCAGATGATGAAGTTTGTGGGGAGGAACAATAGAGGCTGTATGGGACATTCAGGTGATGAAGTTTGTTGGGGAGGAATAAGAGAGGCTGTATGGGACATTCAGGTGATGAAGTTTGTTGGAGAGGAACAAGAGAGGCTGTATGTGACATTCAGGTGATGAATATTGTGGGGGAGGAACAAGAGAGGCTGTATGGGACAGTCAGATGATGAAGTTTGTTGGGGAGGAACAATAGAGGCTGTATGTGACATTCAGGTGATGAAGTTTGTTGGGGAGGAACAAGAGAGGCTGTATGTGACAGTCAGATGATGAAGTTTGTGGGGAGGAACAATAGAGGCTGTATGGGACATTCAGGTGATGAAGTTTGTTGGGGAGGAATAAGAGAGGCTATATGGGACATTCAGGTGATGAAGTTTGTTGGAGAGGAACAAGAGAGGCTGTATGTGACATTCAGGTGATGAATATTGTGGGGGAGGAACAAGAGAGGCTGTATTGGACAGTCAGATGATGAAGTTTGTGGGGAGGAACAAGAGAGGCTGTATGTGACATTCAGATGATGAAGTTTGTTGGGGAGGAACAATAGAGGCTGTATGTGACATTCAGGTGATGAAGTTTGTTGGGGAGGAACAAGAGAGGCTGTATGGGACATTCAGGTGATGAATATTGTTGGGGAGGAACAAGAGAGGCTGTATGTGACAGTCAGGTGATGCAGATTGTCGGGAGGGACAAGAGAGGCTGTATGTGACATTCAGGTGATGAAGTTTGTTGGGGAGGAACAAGAGAGGCTGTATGTGACAGTCAGATGATGAAGTTTGTGGGGAGGAACAATAGAGGCTGTATGGGACATTCAGGTGATGAAGTTTGTTGGGGAGGAACATGAGAGGCTGTATGAGACATTCAGGTGATGAAGTTTGTTGGGGAGGAACATGAGAGGCTGTATGGGACATTCAGGTGATGAATATTGTGGGGGAGGAACAAGAGAGGCTGTATGGGACAATCAGGTGATGAAGTTTGTGGGGGAGGAACATGAGAGGCTGTATGGGACAGGTGATGAGTTTGTGGGGGACGAACAAGAGAGGCTGTATGAGACATTCAGGTGATGAAGTTTTTGGGGAGGAACAAAAGAGGCTGTATGGGACATTCAGGTGATGAAGTTTGTGGGAGGGAACAAGAGAGGCTGTATGTGACAGTCAGGTGATGAAGTTTGTGGGGGAGGATGGAGAGGCTGTATGTGACATAGGTCACATGTCTCAAAGACAAGCAACCAGTTTTTGTGAAAATCCGTCAGACATGAACTAGCAACCTTTGAATTGTTAGCCTGACAGCTAACCAACTGTTTTAAACGCCCCAGTTTTAAACTTAGTGCAAATTTACCTTACCTTACCTACCTAAGACATCATGGAACTGAATGGAAACTGAGGTTAGGTTACAGGTGTCGCCAGTGTATCTGGAATCAAAATATCACAGGTTACGTCATTTTGTATTATGACATGTTTGAAAAGTTTGTGGTTCTGTATTCTACATTTTTCAATAGACACCATCTTCACTGCCAATTATCCTATTAGTTTTGAGGTAAACCCTATCCTTAGTCACAATGCATCTGCGAGGGGGGAAAACATCACTTCTTTCCTCTGTGTTTTGGATCGACAAGTAAACGTTTTTGCTGATCAATCCAAACTCATATTGGATAATATCACATCTATTTAAGATCTAAAAGATTACATACAGACAACCTACAGTTACTGAGAGAATGGTGGTATAAGAAGAAAGATTGTTGACGTAAGTAGGTAGATTTAGTTACATATTGTTGGGATGGATGCCTCCCCACCGTGGTCATCGGGAGTCTGCTCTGGGTGTGGAGTTGACCCTCACCCTAGGTGTAGAGCATGTGAGCTCCAAAGTCTGGATGCATGTATTGCAAGGACTAATCCAGAAAACTAGATCATCGGACAAGACTCTTTCGACATCAGCTTCTCCTAAAACTAAATCTAAACTGGAAAGTTGTTATCTCCCTGGTAAAGTGACTTCCTCAGAGAAAGACACAGGTGGCAAGGGGATGAGCAATAAGAGAACCTGGTCTTACCTGCTGAGGAGAGGTCACATTACTCAACCCACCCGCCTAAACTAAGCAGCAGGCAACTGGAAGTGACGTCATGAAACATCATAAGTAAGGTCATATATCACTAAAACAGGTTACAATTATTATGTCATAGAATTGGAAGGATGCCACAAAGTGCCAAAGTTTTTCAGGTTTGCCAAGGGTAAAATCAGAAAGTTAGGCATTTGTTCATACCCCCGTGTTTTCTATGTATTCCCTTCCTTCACTGCTGCCAATTATCTGTGAGTACTAGGTGGCAGATCCCGCCTGTCTCTCTGGTAAATACTTACAATGATGTAATAGAGGTAGGATATTCATAGGAATTATCAAACAAAAGTTATCATTGTGTATAATTCTAAGAATACTACCTCTATTACATTAGGAAAAAGTCCCTCCCACCTCCCGAATTACGTCTAGTCGATAAAGGTTATTGGAAACAAGTGATGTTTTCCCACCTCGCGCATGCACAGATGCATTGTGACTAAGGACAGTGTTTACCTCAAAACTAATTGGATAATGGGCAGTGAATCTGAATCTGGTGAATAATCTAAAGATAAATAGTGGGATTATTGCCAAAACAGGAATTTATCAATATGATGTAAAAGAGATAGTATTCTTAGAATTATACACAATGATAACTATTGTTTGATTTCAAATTTCAAAGCTGTGATGTCTTGATTTGCAAGGATTACAACATCTTCATATTAGAATTACTTTCCTTTGGTTTGAGTGGCGACAGGGAGGAAAATGGACAACTTTGACATTGTCGGCAATACCATATTTATTTCGATTACATTGATTTATATGATGATCAAGCCTTTAAGTTGGTTTAATACTATCGCAATACTATTGCAACAATTGACAACTTATCGCAATATTGAATATACCCCCAGTAGTATCACCTACTAATCACTGTGATAATATTACAAGTTTACTGGCTGTACTGGTTATACAGCAAGATCAGAAAGCAGTTAAAGCAGATAACTGTTGTATGACAGTCAACATAGCAATGATGCCTTGACAACATAGATTTGTCTCAGCAGACAGTGATAATATAATTTTTGCCTATTACTATGTCATTTTTTCATGATGTGAGTAATATTGTCTCTGTATTTTAATATGACCATGCATCAATAAGTACTTCAAATAGCAAAATATATTCAGAAAACTGTTTTTGTAGTATTCTGACTTTTCACCCAGATAAATCCTTCTACTGGTAATGCAGGTGAGATACACTGTCCATATATGTAATTCTTTTATCAATGATTTGTTTGTTCTGATTATGTTTCAGTCACAGAACAAAGTACTATGACTGGATTCAAAGTGTTCTTGTTCAAACGAACGTTCGTCTTTTCTTCACTGAAAATCAAGGTAAGTTATGACCACTGAAGATCACGGTAATACCTAATTTATGACCATCAAAGATTACTAATTCCCAGTTTATGACCATTGAAGATCCTGGTAATACCCACTTAATGACCACTGAAGATCACAATAATACAAACTTAATGACCGCTGAAGATCACAGTAATACCCACTTATTGAACACTGAAGATCACAGTAATACCAGCTTAATAACCACTGAAGTTCACGATAATACCCAATTTATTTCCCTGTAAAGATCACGGTAATACCCACTTAATGACCACTGAAGATCACAGTAATACCCACTAAATGACCAGTGAAGATCACAGTAATTCCCACTTTTTGAACACTGAAGATCACAGTAATACCCACTTAATGACCACTGAAGATCACAGTAATTCCCAATTAATGACCACTGAAGATCACAGTAATTCCCACTCATTGAACACTGAAGACAACAGTAATACCCACTTATTGACCACTGAAGATCACAGTAATACCGGCTTAATGACCACTGAAGATCACGATAATAACCAATTTATTTACCTGTGAAGATCATGGTAATACCGGCTTAATGACCACTGAAGATCACGATAATAACCAATTTATTAACCTGTGAAGATCATGGTAATACCCAATTAATGACCACTGAAGATCACTGTAATACCCACTTAATGACCACTGAAGATCTCAGTCATACCCAATTTATGACCACTGAAGATTCCTTATACCCAATTTATGACCACTGAAGATTCCTTATACCCAATTTCTGACCACAGAAGATCACAGTAATACCCAATTGTGACCACTGTAGATCACAGTAATACCCAATTTGTGACCACTGAAGCTTACAGTAATACCCACTTAATGAACACTGAAGATCACAGTAATACCGACGTAATGACCACTGAAGATCACAGTAATACCCAATTTATGACAACTAAAGATTCCTTATACCCAATTTGTGACCACTGAAGATCACAGTAATACCCAATTTATGAATTTATGACCACTGAAGATTAGTTTCTTCCTTGGCTGATATGACAGTTGTTGTTAAACTTTGTCTCCTCAACATCGGGATGCTTAGTCATCTGTGATTCACAATTTATTTTGAATGGACCTTCACTTTTCTGATGCCTAAATTCCCCCAGCTGATTTTATTATGACAATACAGGGTCTGTGTTATTCCTTCCCACTGGGGTTAAGCATCAGTCCTTCATGTCCATTATGTTGGTATTGGCAGCTAAAATACAGCTTTGTTGTCTCATCAGGCAAGGTTACTTCATGGGTGGATTGAGTGGTTATGTCTGTGATAACATTAGGCTAGGTTACTTCATGGGTTGATTGAGTGGTTATGTCTGTGATAACATCAGGCTAGGTTACTTCATGGGTTGATTGAGTGGTTATATCTGTGGAAACATCAGGCTAGGTTACTTCATGGGTTGATTGAGTGGTTATATCTGTGATAACATCAGGCTAGGTTACTTCATGGGTTGATTGAGTGGTTATATCTGTGATAACATAAGGCTAGGTTACTTCATGGGTTGATTGAGTAGTTATGTCTGTGATAACATCAGGCTAGGTTACTTCATGGGTTGATTGAGTGGTTATATCTGTGGAAACATCAGGCTAGGTTACTTCATGGGTTGATTGAGTGGTTATATCTGTGATAACATCAGGCTAGGTTACTTCATGGGTTGATTGAGTGGTTATATCTGTGGTAACATTAGGCTAGGTTACTTCATGGGTTGATTGAGTGGTTATATCTGTGGTAACATCAGGCTAGGTTACTTCATGGGTTGATTGAGTAGTTATGTCTGTGATAACATCAGGCTAGGTTACTTCATGGGTTGATTGAGTGGTTATATCTGTGGAAACATCAGGCTAGGTTACTTCATGGGTTGATTGAGTGGTTATATCTGTGATAACATCAGGCTAGGTTACTTCATGGGTTGATTGTGTGGTTATGTCTGTGGTAACATCAGGCTATGTTACTTCATGGGTTGATTGAGTGGTTATGTCTGTGATAACATCAGGCTAGGTTACTTCATGGGTTGATTGAGTTGTGCTATCTGTGATTACATCAGGCTAGGTTACTTCATGGGTTGATTGAGTGGTTATATCTGTGATAACATCAGGCTAGGTTACTTCATGGGTTGATTGTGTGGTTATGTCTGTGATAACATCAGGCTAGGTTACTTCATGGGTTGATTGAGTGGGTATGTCTGTGATAACATCAGGCTAGGTTACTTCATGGGTTGATTGAGTGGTTATATCTGTGATAACATCAGGCTAGGTTACTTCATTGATTGATTGAGTGGTTATATCTGTGATAACATCAGGCTAGGTTACCTCATGGGTTGATTGAGTGGTTATATCTGTGATAACATTAGGCTAGGTTACTTCATGGGTCGATTGTGTGGTTATATCTGTGATAACATCAGGCTAGGTTACTTCATGGGTTGATTGAGTGGTTATATCTGTAGTAACATCAGGCTAGGTTACTTCATGGGTTGATTGAGTGGTTATATCTGTGGTAACATTAGGCTAGGTTACTTCATGGGATGATTGAGTAGTTATGTCTGTGATAACATCAGGCTAGGTTACTTCAAGGGTTGATTGAGTGGTTATATCTGTGGAAACATCAGGCTAGGTTAATTCATGGGTTGATTGAGTTGTGCTATCTGTAATAACATCAGGCTAGGTTACTTCATGGGTTGATTGAGTGGTTATATCTGTGATAACATCAGGCTAGGTTACTTCATGGGTTGATTGTGTGGTTATGTCTGTGATAACATCAGGCTAGGTTACTTCATGGGTTGATTGAGTGGTTATGTCTGTGATAACATCAGGCTAGGTTACTTCATTGATTGATTGAGTGGTTATATCTGTGATAACATCAGGCTAGGTTACTTCATGGGTTGATTGAGTGGTTATATCTGTGGTAACATCAGGCTAGGTTACTTCATGGGTTGATTGAGTGGTTATATCTGTGATAACATCAGGCTAGGTTACTTCATGGGTTGATTGAGTGGTTATATCTGTGATAACATCAGGCTAGGTTACTTCATGGGTTGATTGAGTGGTTATATCTGTGGTAACATCAGGCTAGGTTACTTCATGGGTTGATTGAGTGGTTATGTCTGTGATAATATTAGGCTGGGTTACTTCATTGGTTGATTGAGTGGTTATATCTGTGATAACATCAGGCGAGGTTACTTCAGGGGTTGATTGAGTGGTTATATCTGTGATAACATCAGGCTAGGTTACTTCATGGGTTGATTGTGTGGTTATGTCTGTGATAACATCAGGCTAGGTTACTTCATGGGTTGATTGAGTGGTTACGTCTGTGATAACATCAGGCGAGGTTACTTCATGGGTTGATTGAGTGGTTATATCTGTGGTAACATCAGGCTAGGTTACTTCATGGGTTGATTGAGTGGTTATGTCTGTGATAACATCAGGCTAGGTTACTTCATGGTTTGATTGAGTGGTTATGTCTGTGGTTCCTTGCTGCTTTGTGAGTCAGTTCATACACTGTGACACCTGTTTCAGCGGAGACAGCAGCTCTCATGGCCCAACTAGCTCAGCTGGAGAAAAAGAAGAAGATGAATATATCAGTACCAGTTGATGTTGGGCAAACTCAAGAACAGGTAGATGAACCTTATTGGTAGCCACTGGACTATCTGTTATGCTGATAATGAGAATCCCTTTAATGATAGGTAATAAACATTTGATAGGGAAGAATCATGTCTTAAAATAGGGAAAAACCTTGTCTTACAATAGGGAAGAATTATGTCTTCATTATGATTTACAATAGGGAAGAACCTTGTCTTACAGTAGGGAAGAACCTTGTCTACAGTAGGGAAGAACCTTGTCTTACAGTAGGGAAGAACCTTGTCTTACAATAGGGAAGAACCTTGTCTTACAATAGGGAAGAACCTTGTCTTACAATAGGGAAGAATTATGTCTTAATCATGTCTCACAATAGGGAAGAATCTTGTCTTACAGTAGGGAATAGCCTTGTCTTACAATAGGGAAAATCTTGGTGTACAATAGGGAGGAATCATGTCTTAACCATGTCTTACAATAGGGAAGAATTATGTCTTAATCATGTCTTACAATAGGGAAGAATTATGTCTTAACCATGTCTTACAATAGGGAAGAATTATGTCTTAACCATGTCTTACAATAGGGAAGAACCTTGTCTTACAATAGGGAAGAATTATGTCTTAATTATGATTTACAATAGGGAAGAATCTTGTCTTAATCATGTCATGCAATAGGGAAGAATCATTCCTTACAATAGAGAAGAATCATGTCCAATGAGATGTGTTGTATGCAGAAGTCTTAGGAGGCACAGTACAGAATAAGGGTTGTTCAATAACAGGTGACTTGCAGACTGTTTGAAGGACTGTTTCTGTACTGCCAGTATTCAGCTAGTTATTAGGGATGTTTCTACTCTGTTTTCAGGGACTGAAGTTCTATACATCTATTCCTAACGTGAGCTATGTTAATGCACTAAACCTGTGCTACAACTACAGATGCATTTCCCACTTCTTGTCCAGGTAAGCAGATACTGCCTCAAGGCAGTTACTGCTGTCACAATATCTTCAGCAATGCAGGAGCCTTTGTTGAGTTGTTTTAAAAGAACAAAATATCCCCAAAAGAATTAGAATAAATAAACACACATTGGACTGTTTACCCTAAGCTTCTTTGTCAGATAGTTGTGAACACTTGAGATGACATAACATATATGTTTTGAGGAGAAATGTCTTGAAGGGGTTTGCTGAGAATGGCTAGTGAACTTTGATTCCATGATTGGCTCAAGAAATATATGACATAGGGCAATTGTTTTCTAAAAAACCCATTAATGTCTGCATGGCAGTGTATTTTGACTGTTGGTTCTGTAATGGGCCAGTCGGGAATAACTGAGATGTTGCTGATTCAGCTGTAAACAGTATTCACTTACACATTCAGTAACTTTTAAAAGGGAATTTGTAAGAGGATATTTGGAACTTCTAAATGATAAGGTTGTCTCCCCTTATGCTTGAAATGTCTTTATTTGAAATGACAAGGTCTTCATGTAGTGGACAGATAATTAGGAGATAAACATACTGTGTAGAGCCAGGTAACCTGTAGATTTAACCTCGCTAAATTGAATTTGGAACCAAACATCCTTTGGCAGTAGATTATGTACGTAAAACACTATAAAAACAATTTGGAATGTTTGAGGAAAAGACATTGAAACATTTGAAACTTAGCGCTTCTCTATATGTGAAGTATGACATCCTATTTACTGCATGCATAAAAGTGTATGACTCCACTTAATAATGTACATCTTTTCTGGGAAACACACTATTAATGCCTCTTATAAGGGCTGCATCTCAGGTATTTGTTGTGCATGGATAAATATAATACTTGTAACTGTGTTAGGGTGTGTGTGTGCGTGCATGTGATTGGTATACATCTGAGATACAATATAACCCCCACCTTGCGCACTCGGTTCCAAATTCAGTTTAGTTCTGGCAAATCTGCAGACAACAATAACATTTAGGAAACCACTGTACATTCATTTCCAATTAGATCACTGTCAAATTCAATTGACTGCAACAAAAGATTATGTTTGGATCACTGTTGTATTTCCTTTTTGTTTTGTTTGTTTGTTTGTTTGTTTAACGCTGCACTCACAAATATATAAGACGACGGCATGTAAAATAACAATCACACTGGACAATTCTGATTTCTGAGTCCTTCTAGTCTTGGCTGTTAGGGGCAGTGTAATCATGCTACTTTATACATTTTTAAGGAGAAATATAATCAAATATTTCTAAAATATAAAAATAAAAAATATCTCTTGTTATTAACAATAACAAATTCTGTTTACATATATGTTAAAGTATATACAATGTTTGATGGTCATGAATGTATATATGTGCAGATTGTGATATTGTTGTGCATGGTGTTAGATCCTGTTCACTCTTCTGCTGCAGCTGTACTCCACAGACCGTTAGTATACGAGGAAAGATGTCGGAGGTACGTGCTGCCGAAGTCTGCTGCTACCTGGCTCATACTTTTGATCTGCAGATGCTGCCAACAGGGCGATAAAACCAAGTCAAGTTCTCATATCATGGTACAACGGATGCTGCCACTAGATGATTAGGGCTGACATGGTACAGCGGATGCTGCCACTAAATGATAAGGGCTGACATGGTACAACGGATGCTGCCACTAAATGATAAGGGCTGACATGGTACAACGGATGCTGCCACTAAATGATAAGGGCTGACATGGTACAACGGATGCTGCCACTAAATGATAAGGGCTGACATGGTACAACGGATGCTGCCACTAGATGATAAGGGCTGACATGGTACAACGGATGCTGCCTCTATATGATAAGGGCTGACATGGTACAACGGATGCTGCCACTAAATGATAAGGGCTGACATGGTACAGCGGATGCTGCCACTAAATGATAAGGGCTGACATGGTACAACGGATGCTGCCACTAAATGATAAGGGCTGACATGGTACAGCGGATGCTGCAACTAAATGATAAGGGCTGACATGGTACAACGGATGCTGCCACTAAATGATAAGGGCTGACATGGTACAGGGGATGCGGCCACTAAATGATAAGGGCTGACATGGTACAGCGGATGCTGCCACTAAATGATAAGGGCTGACATGGTACAACGGATGCTGCCACTAAATGATAAGGGCTGACATGGTACAGCGGATGCTGCCACTATATGATAAGGGCTGACATGGTACAACGGATGCTGCCACTAAATGATAAGGGCTGACATGGTACAGCGGATGCTGCCACTAAATGATAAGGGCTGACATGGTACAACGGATGCTGCCACTAAATGATAAGGGCTGACATGGTACAACGGATGCTGCCACTAAATGATAAGGGCTGACATGGTACAACGGATGCTGCCTCTAGATGATAAGGGCTGACATGGTACAAGGGATGCTGCCACTAAATTATAAGGGCTGACATGGTACAATGGATGCTGCCTCTATATGATAAGGGCTGACATGGTACAATGGATGCTGCCTCTATATGATAAGGGCTGACATGGTACAACGGATGCTGCCACTAAATGATAAGGGCTGACATGGAACAGCGGATGCTGCCACTAAATGATAAGGGCTGACATGGTACAACGGATGCTGCACTCAGCAATATTCCAGTTATATGACAGCAGCCTGTTAATATATCAAGTCTGGACCAGACAATCCAATGATGATATTGTGAGCTAAGATCCATGTAACGACATGCTATCAACCAAGCCATTGAACCATTTGGTTGCATCTTACATCCAGCATAGGTTGCTGGGGACCTGTTCTCACCGGCAAATCTTAACAGGGTGCCTCTAGATAATAAGAGCCAAAGTCATTGTACAATGGATGATACTTCTAGATGATAGTGGAAAGTTAAGGTGGCCTGTTCAATTTTGACTTCAACATTTCATAGGCAGCACTGCATTTGGAGCAGACTCATCTGCCAACTGATACTGAAAGCCTACTATACATGGACTTCTCACAAGGACTATCATATGATGCAACTTTTATGATTTCTAAGATGAACACATTGGAATTCATGTGCATATATCAACTGATTTGGATAGTGGTGGGATTTGATTATTTGTATCTAATTGATGAATGACAAATAAATGTGCAATAAATATTCCCATATCAGTGGTCTGTGATGTTTCACTGTCTGCACATTAACTACAAAGTACCAACAAGTGACAGGTTCCAGAAACTGTCTGAAGAAACAAAAGATAACCTTTCCAACACAAGGGAGGTATGGTATATGAGAATATGTCAACACAAGAATATCCACCAGAACAGAAGATCGAGTGAGCACAAGAGTGACGAGGACATGGGGAGAGCACAAGAGTGACGAGGACATAGGGAGAGCACAAGAGTGATGTGGACGTGGGGAGAGCACAAGAGTGATGTGGACGTGGGGAGAGCATTGGTGTGATTAGGACATGGGGAGAGGACAAGAGTGACGAGGACATGGGGAGAGCACAAGAGTGATGTGGACGTGGGGAGAGCACAAGAGTGATGTGGATGTGGGGAGAGCATTGGTGTGATTAGGACATGGGGAGAGGACAAGAGTGACGAGGACATGGGGAGAGTACAAGAGTGATGTGGACGTGGGGAGAGCACAAGAGAGATGGGGAGAGCATTGGTGTGATTAGGACATGGGGAGAGGACAAAAGTGACAAGGACATGGGGAGAGCACAAGAGTGACGAGGACATGGGGAGAGCATTGGTGTGATTAGGAAATGGGGAGAGGACAAGAGTGACGAGGACATGGGGAGAGCACAAGAGTGACAAGGACATGGGGAGAGCACAAGAGTGACAAGGACGTGGGGAGATGACATGGGGAGAGCACAAGAGTGACGAGGACATGGGGAAATGACATGGGGAGAGCACAAGAGTGACGAGGACGTGGGAAGATGACATGAGGAGAGCACAAGAGTGACGAGGACGTGGGAAGATGACATGAGGAGAGCACAAGAGTGACGAGGACGTGGGAAGATGACATGGGGAGAGCACAAGAGTGACAAGGACATGAGGAGAGCACAAGAGTGACGAGGACATGGGGAGAGCACAAGAGTGACAAGGACATGGGGAGAGCACAAGAGTGACAAGGATGTGGGGAGATGACATAGGGAGAGCACAAGAGTGACAAGGACATGGGGAGAACATTTGTGTGATTAGGACTTGGGGAGATCACAAGAGTGACAAGGACATGGGGAGATCACAAGAGTGACAAGGATGTGGGGAGATGACATAGGGAGAGCACAAGAGTGACAAGGACATAGGGAGAGCACAAGAGTGACAAGGACATGAGGAGAGCACAAGAGTGACGAGGACGTGGGAAGATGACATGGGGAGAGCACAAGAGTGACGAGGACGTGGGAAGATGACATGAGGAGAGCACAAGAGTGACGAGGACGTGGGAAGATGATATGAGGAGAGCACAAGAGTGACGAGCACGTGGGAAGATGACATGGGGAGAGCACAAGAGTGACAAGGACATGAGGAGAGCACAAGAGTGACGAGGACATGGGGAGAGCACAAGAGTGACAAGGACATGGGGAGAGCACAAGAGTGACAAGGATGTGGGGAGATGACATAGGGAGAGCACAAGAGTGACAAGGACATAGGGAGAGCACAAGAGTGACAAGGACATGGGGAGAGCACAAGAGTGATTAGGACATGGGGAGAACATTTGTGTGATTAGGACATGGGGAGATCACAAGAGTGGCGAGGACATGGGGAAAACATTTGTGTGAAAAGGACTTGGGGAGAGGACAAGAGTGACGAGGAGGTGGGGAAATGACATGGGAAGAGCACAAGAGTGATTAGGTATGGGGAGAACACAAGAGTGATTAGGACATGGGGAGAGCACAAGAGTGACGAGGACATGGGGAGAGCACAAGAGTGACGAGGACATGGGGAGAACATTTGTGTGATTAGGACTTTGGGAGAGGACAAGAGTGACGAGGAGGTGGGGAAATGACATGGGAAGAGCACAAGAGTGATTAGGTATGGGGAGAACACAAGAGTGATTAGGACATGGGGAGAGCACAAGAGTGACGAGGACATGGGGAGAGCACAAGAGTGACGAGGACATGGGGAGAACATTTGTGTGATTAGGACATGGGGAGAGCACAAGAGTGACAAGGACATGGGGAGAGCACAAGAGTGACGAGGACATGGGGAGAGCATTTGTGTGATTAGGACTTGGGGAGATCACAAGAGTGACGAGGACTTGGGGAGATCACAAGAGTGAAGAGGACATGTGGAGAGCACAAGAGTGACAAGGACATGGGGAGAGCACCAGAGTGACGAGGACTTAGGGAGAGCATTGGTGTGATTAGGACATGGGGAGAGCACAAGAGTGACAAGGACATGGGGAGAGCACAAGAGTGACAAGGACATGGGGAGAGCACAAGAGTGATTAGGACATGGGGAGATCACAAGAGTGACGAGGACATGGGGAGAGCACAAGAGTGACGAGGACTTAAGGAGAGCATTGGTGTGATTAGGACATGGGGAGAGCACAAGAGTGACGAGGACATGGGGAGAGCACAAGAGTGACAAGGACATGGGGAGAGCACAAGAGTGATGAGGACATGGGGAGACCACAAGAGTGACGAGGACATTGGGAGGGCACAAGAGTGACGAGGAAATGGGGAGACCACAAGAGTGACGAGGACATTGGGAGGGCACAAGAGTGACGAGGACATGGTGAGTGCACAAGAGGGACGAGGACATGGGGAGAGCACAAGAGTGACAAGGACATGGGGAGAGCAGAAGAGTGATTAGGACATGGGCAGAGCACAAGAGTGACGAGGACATAGGGAGAGCACAAGAGTGATGAGGACATGGGGAGAGCATTGGTGTGATTAGGACATGGGGAGATCACAAGAGTGACGAGGACATGGGGAGAGCACAAGAGTGACGAGGACATGGGGAGAGCCCAAGAGTGACAAGGACGTGGGGAGAGCACAAGAGTGGCGAGGACATGGGGAGAGCCCAAGAGTGACGAGGTCATGGGGAGATCGCAAGAGTGACGAGGACATGGGGAAAGCACAAGAGTGACGAGGGCATGGGGAGAGCACTGGTGTGATGAGGACAATAGATCAGTCCCAGACAAATTCTGCAGTCATATTATTCTGTAGTACAATGATCTCATTTCTGCAGCTTAAATTACCACACACAAAATTATTCTACTAAAGTACTGTCGGAAGTGCTAGAAAAAATGCTTTTCTGGCTTCATTTAATAAATACGAGTCATAGAGCTTTGAATATAGCATATATCAAAGTAACGCAAAATGACCTAATCTTGCCTATCCTAACTGACACTGTGATTACCCTTAAAATGTACTTTTACAGGTAAAATGATGATAAACTTATTCGTGTGTTGTCATGTATGTATGAAACGGCCAATAAGCTGAGGTAATTACCTAACACTTGTTCCAAGGTGATGACCACACACTGGCCTGTGCATTCTCACGGGTGCAAATGTCACCCAGGTTGGGGGTGGTCTCAAAATATTGCTGTTGTTGTACTTAATTGGCATGTGTGTGGATGGTGTAGCAATTTAGGGTATGTACTGGGTTATATTTGCTTGGATAAATGATGGAATAGTTAAAAACTATTAAACGGGATGTGTACTAGGTGGCTGCGGTTTTGAAATCAAGAAGTATTTGTTTTTCTATACATGATATCTTGAGGTAGCATCTACCTCCACTGATGACGTATATAGATCTGTACTATAACCCAAAGGTGTGATAACTGGTTCAACAAGGCTGATATCTTGCAATGACAGCGTTGATCCTCCCTTTGACATGTGTGAGTTTGAATGCTGTGTTATGTCTCCCACGAACCCAGAACAGTTAGCCAAGATAGGCTCAACATAGTTGAGCTCACAATGTCTGACTGGCGTATGTAAGACAACGTGACCGTGTTTGTGCCGCTACCACATATGTCTTGTACTTTACTGGTTTCCTATTAAGCCGAATTTTCTCCATGAACCTTCGTTTCAGATGGTCTGAAGTCCGGAATGTCATTTATTCCTGTATGGTCGCCTTCAGACTACTCATGGTTGGCGCGACCGTATCTGCTTCCCGGACGTTGTATTAATTGGCGTTATCCATGACTATGACACTGAGGTTGTTTAAAATGGGCAATAGCTGATTTTCCAACCAGTCTAGGGACATATCTCCTCCTATAATTTCCTTTCACCTCGAAAACTAGCACACATCCATCAATGCGCCCCAGATCACGGGGCAAAACAATGACTCGATTGTCTGATGGCACCATCGGTGCGTTTTGTCCATCTGCCGATAGCCACATGTAAGTGGAATGATTCATCAAGGTAAATGATCTGGAAGCCCGGACTGTGATAGTTATGAATGGTGCGGAGATAATGTGACCTCATAGACAGGTTGGAATATTTCCCCCTGAAAACTGCTCGGTCATCGGGGGTACCTTCTGCTCATAAAGCTTGTACACAATACACCTAGTCACCCTGTATCAAATATCCTTTAACGTCCGGTATTGGTTTTTCGACCCAACCACCCCCTATACCTTTTTAGTTTTATTTATCATACCGTCGACTTGATGGAATGAATTGAAAACTCCATAACTTAGGCAGTTCGGTAATTCACACAATAAATACTAATAAATGGTTCCCTCTATCTCTCTAAATGTAGAGTACTTGTGTGCATTTCAGCCTCCATGTCGTGTATCGTGGTTATGGCTATGCAAGTGTTATGTAACATGCATCATGGGAGCAGTATTGATAAGACAAACGCGTCATTTTGTTATTTTAGAAGATCCACGTCCAGAATTTTCTCCATGTGATTTTTTGTGTTGTCTAGTTGTTTTGTGAAGACTACATTATTATCATTATAACGGAGTCACGTGCACACATGTCTGTCGTGCGTTTTAGACTGCCATCATTGGACTTACAACAAATCCGAACTTACTGTTTTCTTTCGAATTTATCTTCTGTAAAATTGACGATAGGACTCCTTGTGACCGAAATACTTCAAGCCACAGGTAGGTCGGTCGGTAGTTATTTGATATTTCAATAGCTACAGTCTGTGACAAATTCTATCCTTTTTTTAACGGGCAAAAAGCATTTTTCTTGCATTTCCGACA